CTCACCAGCATCACCATGATTGCCTTCCGCCTCAACAGTATCACCATGGTTACCATTTATCTCAGAAGTATTACCATGGTTACCTTCTGTGAGAAAAGTACCACCAGGCTTTCCATCCTCAGATTTCTCACTCTGCGGTGTTGGGTGTTGATGAGCATCGGCTTCCGACGCCCACTCGGCAGTGTGTGGGTTCCTGACGTTATCAGCAACAGACTCTCCCCTCTGGGGGGTTCCGACTGACCCCTGGCCCTCACCTGAGAAAAATATGTTGAACATGAATGTGTAAAATGAAACACTAAGTTTTTCACATACAATTGAAAACATATTTTAGGCCACAACAAATTGTTTTCAGTTGTGTGGCATGAGGAAATTTATTATTCATATTTTATATTAAAAAAGGGCATTAACATGTACATTAACTATGAACAGGTGTGACTCACATGAAGTATGATCTTTTGGTAGTATAACTACGGTTATAACAAACTCCAAGGAACCACTCATTTTAGTTTGTTATAACCATAGTTCGTTATAAGCATATATACAGCATATATACAGCAAAGTGGGACAAAAAGAACAGTTCGTTATATCCGTCTGTTCATTATAAGCGTGTTCGTTATAAACATAGTTTACTGTATAACATATATTTTGTGTTTTGTGTATTTCATTCATTATTTTGTCTGCCAGTACTTGGGGGCAATAAAGTTATGGCATTCCACCTCATAACGTAGCTGATGTTGTAGTTTTGTACTTACATTAGTGAGTGAGCATGTGTTTTCATGGTTTTAGCAATTTTCCAGCTATATCATGACAAGGGACATCACAAATGTGCTTCACCTATGGTATCCAATGTGCATTCAGTAAGTAAATGCCTCAACTACAAGGTTATCCCCCCTTCTTTTCTGAGGCAAGGGGACCGCCTCCATGGTCTGGTGGTTGAGCGTCCGCCCGGAGAGCAGAAGGTCCGGGGTTCGATCCCCGGCCGTGTCATACAAAAAGACGTTAAAAGATGGTATTTGTTGTTACCCTGTCTGGCGCTCGGCATTAAGGTGTTAAAACAAGGACTGGTCGGCTCGGAGTCAGTATACTGTGTCTGAGTGGGGTATTCAAGTTAAACTGCGGCATGGTATCTCAGTGAGCTAGCATTATAAATCAGCATCAGTCCGGACTAGTACAAGCAGCCACACAAACACACACACGTACATGCTATATAAGTGTAATAATCTTGGCTGGACATTAAACCCCATTTCACCTCACCTCACCTCTGAGGCAAGGGAGTTAACTGACTGTATAAGTCCACTTTCCACCCTTGCCAAACTAGACTGGATTTTCCAGGCTCGATCGTAGCACAACCAGTGGCTATTACCGGTACGAGTTATGTCCCTTTTACGTCCCTCCTATTGACCAATCAGATTCAATCTCTCATATCACTTGCATTTGCTTCAAATAAAATGGCAGCACCCAGTCAAGACGATCTGATCGATAATCAAAATCTCTATTGTAACAAAATGGGTGTTACCACGCAAGGTGCACCAGATCACTTAAGCACCTTGATTAAAAACATGAACAGATTTGCAATATATCTGTCGACGATGCCCAGTTGATGATACACATGTTTTGCAAATCCTGGACTTTTATAGTCAGTTAACTCCCTTGCCTCAGGACGATGCTTGCTGACGTAAATAACAATGATCTGGATAGTTAGGAAAGTCAACACAAATTCAGCCTACCTTGTATTCGTATCTCCTGTTGGCCATCTTTGTCTTTTGAATTCTGCAACATAACATCAAAGGCTGATTTTCGTAAATTGACAGCTCTGACAAACTGTTGATTGGAGTAGGCATCAACTTTGAAAGTTCAAATCGAGTTGTACACCAATCAGCATCAAGGCTTCTAAAATTCTGGGTATAAGCAATGAAAGTATTTGGAGCAGCATATCTGATTTTTGTGGCTCACAAAGGAATGTAACCTAGCTGCTCTGAATGGAGAAAAATAAAGCTGGGCTATATATGCTGTGGAACATTTGTGGGCAGTGTTTGTTTTCTTTTGTTAAGATCAACATGTCATGATCGAGGTGGAAAAGAAATCAAATCATTTCAGAGAGCTGTCATCTGATTGGCTAAAGAAACCACTCACCCTTCAATATGATTGGGTGGTCAAAGTTCACTCAGGTTCTTTGGAGGATTTGTCAGATCATAACTGAGGGAGGTCTTGAATAATCAGATTCTGATTGAAATATCTCATTTTTGCACCAAATTTGCTGAAGTAAACCTCCTTTTCCTGCAGAGTCAGATTCAGATTATTTGTCTATCCTAAAACTGACCTTAAAGTAGCCATGGTCCAAGCTGACCTTTGGTGCCTTGGGGATCGGACTGAAAATACATTAACAGTATCAAATCTATTATCATTTTAATTTGCATAAACTAACAATACTGAATACTTCTTACTGAAAATGATATATTTTAATTTATATATGTTTATAGAATGATAATACATTTAATTGAAAAGTAATAACTTGTAAATGGTATTAAACAAATAACCAAAGTGTGGGATGTAAGTAAAGAAAGGGGGACAACTCTTGAAATACATCAACAAGGGAGATAACTCACCAGACAACAGGTAGAAGTGACAGACAACAGCAAGTGGGTGAAAGAGTGGATGAATGAAGACACTGATGAAGTAGGATGCCATAGTCCTACTGACTGAAAGTTTTACCATGAAGTTGGTGGGCGTGGAATAAAAGACAGACACCACATACTGTGAAGGTTGGAAAAAAATGATGATATAATTATGATGAAATAAGTGAAAAAATAGCTTTGTAAATTGCTTGATAAGATAACATTATATTCATGAAACTGTCTTCTACGGAGAAATTGAAGTGAAGAAGCTGAAGTCATTCCAGTCAGCAACATCAATCATGTCTGCCTATGATATTCTGCCTAACTTTGCTCTAATTGAAGTGAAGTAGGTGCAGTTTCATTCCACAGTGAGCAACAGTCGTGTTGTATCAACCTTGCCTGTAAATAGTCATCAGTAGTAAGAAAATCCTCTTATTCACTTAGAACATCAGAAGTGAATGCTGTTTTATGCCAGTCAGCAATTTCCCAGTTGTATCATGGACGCCAGTCAAAAAGGCAGACCATTTAGTCTGCACTTACCACAAGCACTGTGCTAATGGATCTTCTGGCCTGAGATCTGCATAGCTGGGCATCGGGTCAGATTCCCAATGATATCTAGACTGAGTACAGGAGACTGACACAACAACCTTTCTTATTTGTCCTACTCATCCCTGTAGTTTGTGATAGCACTGGATTATTGAAAATCAATCATCGTTAAGAAAAGATACAAAGAAACAAATTGTTAATCACTAGATTGTCTGGTCCAGACTCGAATATTTACAGACTGCCGTCATATAGATGGAATATTGCTGAGCGCGGCTCAAAACAACAGACAAACAAGAACAAAAACAGAACACTTGCTAATTTCTCGATGACAACACTGAAATTTGTCCCGATGTCTCCACGGTTGATGGAGGAATGTAGTGTATACAAAACCTCTGAAGTACTGACAACAGTATTTTTCGGGCCAATTCAGACACCATTAATTAGACTGATGTCCAAATCCAGTTCAATAACAAGCCAATAAACTTATAATATACTATTTATTTTCCACCTTTTTGTTCAATTGTTCAAATATGAAAAACATCAAATAAAATATGGCAGATCAGGACAATACTGAAAAAACAGTCATGACGTCTGAATTACTAAAATAGGTTCGACTTCTTCCATGCAAAGCAATACTAACGGTAATATCTCATGACTAATTCCATTGATATTTCTAACTTTGTTTCCGTTCAATAAGGATTAAGAAAAATAGTATGACAGCTCATTGCAGCTTACCTGGATATGTAGTGAACAATTTAAAATATCAACAAAGACAGCAATTTTCAGCATTGATCAGGGTCAATAATAAGGAACTAAAACTTGATACTAAATTAACTCCTAATTATTTGAACAAAATAGTATGGTAATTTCAAAGTTTACAGAACCCACAATGCATTTTGAGAAAATTTTAAAGCATGGTCAAAATACAAAGGTCAAAACAAGGTCACAATTTAGAATATGCGTTGAGTCCTGTGACTAAAGATTTCACGTCTTTACATTTCGAACAAACATGGATGAGCAATGTAAAAAACATTGTTTTTAGCGAGCCTTGGCGAGCTAAATACATAGTGTTTATTCCTAATACAGGATATTTACCATCCCCAAACACACAAGCGTGATAACCTCTTTATCATATAATGTCATTCTTTAATTCTGTGCTTCAAAATCGCTTTCCCTCTCTCGCAAACATTACTGAAACATTGCGAGTTTTCCTGGAATGCGTGCATTAATATTTATTACGTCACAGGGTAAGTGATGTATCAGTCGGACAGTGACAGTAGCCAATATAGTTCCAACTGAAATCTGTTTCTTATACAGTGGCGAAGCAACATATACACAAACAACAATTGTTTTTAATTGCCTTTCGCGGCAATCCATCGGTCTGTCCGCTAGAGTAACTGCTCTTTGTCAAAGGGAAGCTACTCTAACCCTAGTCTATGAGACGTCACGGCCACGGTCAGACCTTGTTGACAGTCGGTCTGTCCTGTCATAACGTAAGAAGTGTAGTCAGATGTACACACAGGGACAAAACGAAACAAGGTAATAATTCAAACATATTTCGGCCAAATCCAACTATTTTAATTTGTGGAAAAGGTTTCAAGCCGCAGAGGTCTACAAGCACAGATATGGCTACTGATCCCGCTTGGCTAGGCCTCGTGCCCTCGCAAAATTGTTTTCGAAATTTATATCTCCAAACTTGCCAAAACTTATAAAATGCCTTAGTTACTTCACAGTTAGACACTGATTTCCAGTATTTTAGACTGTTCTTTTGATAATGATAGCAATTATCCCTGTAGTTTATCCAGATTCCCGATGGTTAATTCTGACTCGATCGCCGAATGACAAGGGCGACGCCATGTTTGTTAATAAACAGTAAAAGTAGTCCCTACTTGACCTTTGATATTTGCATCTCTATCCGCATATGACCCCAACGGATATCGTTTTTATCCGTTGGCTTTATCCTGACGAGAAACCTACCCCTTATATGATAAACAAATATATCAGCTTGGAGAAGAGAATATTGTAAAGATATTGTCATTACTTACATGATTGTTAAGATACAGTGATAATTTGTGATTTTGAAAATAAAAACACATTCAAATTTTTCCAATTAAGCTTGGGTATGAATCCTAGAGGGATATGAAGTTTCTGTTTCTCATCTGTGTGTATGATCAGTTATTCAATAACCAGGTTTAGAAAACATTTACTACTAAGTAACAAGATATTTTAAGTAATGAAACAATAGAATTTATTGGTCCTCTGATAAAAGATGCTAAGATCCCTGTAAATGATCTGGTACCGTAGTCTACACTGAACAAAACTGGAGTGATGTAACTGTTATAATACACATACCTCACTCCATAACAACATAACACAAATAAAATTCAACACGTAGTGATTATAGTAGCACCTGTAGGTTATGTGATCATTCAATAGAATGTTGTAAAATACATTGCTTAAAACAATGAATTAACATACAAAAATACAAAAATTCAAATACTGATTGTTTGGAAAAATCACATAATCAAAAACATATCACACACATCATTTACAATATTTTAAAGAAATCATTATAACAAGTTCAGCATCATATAAAAATTGTTACAAAAAATGAAATTGTTTAAGTGTGTAATTTGCTTTCAATCAGCCCTGACAAGGTAATGAATCTCCTTGTCAGCAGAGGGCGCTGCTGAAAGTCACATGACCCTCTTCGAGAAGAAAAGTTGGTATCCTTGTACTGACAACATGGCGTACGAACTTTGACGACAGCTACAAATGACTGGGCTTTGTGTTGTAACAAAGCGACTGCTCGGTTTCCGAATAGGAAACTGATGTATTGGTAAGACTTGACTATTAATCTTTTTCTTCTTCATCAGCGGTTGACAACATTTGCCCTTGTGCACATATCTACTTGCAGTGACCTTGCCCTTCCTGACAAGGTCGTTAGGATTATATGGCAGTATGGTGTAGCTGCCATGGCCTGGTGTTATCTTGATCTTGTGCGAGGAGGATTCTTGGGCAGGTAGAGTATCATCTAGGTTATCTTCAATGCTGTCGTGAGCGGGCGGCCGTGTCACTATGTCCAGCATGCACTTGTCCTTGTTGGAAGTCAGCTGGTGCTTTAGAATGTCCACAACATCCACATCCCCACCTGGAGGGGAAGCTGGTTCCAACTGTTGTTGGATCTCAACACGACTAATCGGCCGATCTATGTAGGACTTATCAAACTCCTTCACCATCCTGCCATGACTAGATGCATTAATGCCTTGTTCTACAAGTTCTGCAATATCTGGTTCTTCTTCCTGGTCTTCAGGTTCTTCCTCCAGCTCCAACAACAGACTGTCCTGCAAGTCCTCCTCTCTCGGTACATCTACCTGAATCCCTGACTCGGGACTGTCGGCACGGTACTCTGGCGACTTGCTCTTGGTCCGGGACAAAATGGCTGCCTTGGGGACCGGCTTCATGACACCTGTGTCACTGTGAGGAGAGACACCCTGCCCTGAGTCTGGCGTGTCCATGGACCGACCCCCACATGTAGGGGTGGGGACAGGGGTGGAGGAGATGGGAGGTGACACCCCCTCCTCAATCAGGTCAGCTGATTGGGGCCTGGCGATGAGATGCACAATGGGTGAGATGGGTTTAATGCCAATAGGCTTATAAATGTACTAAGATCCTCTTGTGCAGCCAGGGCACCATTTCTCAAAGTGAACTCAGTGCTAACAGTATGACTATATAAAGAATGAGAGTGAGTGAGTGAATGAGTGAGTGTGGGATAACGCTGCTTTGAACAGTATTTCAGTCATATAGTGATGGAAAGTGTGGGAGGAAAATCAGAAGTAATAGTGAGGTGTGGTGAGGTGAAATTGGGTTTAACGTCGCGTCCAAGATAATTGCACTTATATAGCGAGGTGCATGTACGTGTGTGTGTTTGTGTGGCTGCTTGTACTAGTCCGGACTGATGCCGATTTATAGCGCTAGCACACTGAGATACCATGACGCAGTTTAACATGAATACCCCACTCAGACACAGTATACTGACTCCGAGCCGACCAGTCCTTGTTTTAGCCCCTTAATTCTGAGCGCCAGACAGGGTAACAACAAGTACCATCTTTTAACGTCTTTTGGTATGACGCGGCCAGGGATCGAACCCGGACCTTCCGCTCTCCGGGCGGACGCTCTACCACTAAACCACGGAGGTGGTCCAGAAGTAATGGAGGTCTTAGACGTTTATAACTTTGGTGAAACCAAGAAAAAACGAGAATGAAGGCTGAAAAACGAAGAATGATAATAAGGATTGTATGGAGCTGCCACAGTGGCACATTGAAACACGGGGCCGATGATCATAATGAGGAGAAGGCGGCCACGATGATTGGGATGATGATGATGATGATAATAACATGGATGATGATGCTAAGGGAGATGACAATGACAGGGGGGATGACAATGACGATGAGGAGGGAAGGGGGAATGATGACAATTACAATGACGATGATGAGAGGTAGGGGGATCATAAAGATGATGATAAAGATGATGATTATGACAAAGACAATGGTGATGGTACAAAATCACAGAGAATCTGTACAGGTGGTCTGGGTGGGAGTACTCACTGTGTCTTTTGGGACTTTTCTCTCAGCACCCGTCTGGCCTCCGACAGGTCCTTCAGCTGCTGAAGCTCATTCTCACTGATCTCGTACTTCGCCTTCAGCTTGATTCCCGAGCCACTCATCATATACATCTTGTCCACACGGTGTCGCAGGATCTGACACAATGGCAAAAGCATTAATAGTTTCACGGAACTGTAAGTATAGGTTGAAAATGGAAAACTGCCAGCGAGGAAAAGCTCCTAGGCCTGTTTTATCCAACTTTTGAACTGTCTAAATGTAAGAAATATTAGAAAAAATAAGAAAACATTGACATACCTTATAGTTAAATAATACAGTGTGTCGCAATATAAAATGAATTCGATTAAAGCGTGCGAGACGAAAGCCATGTGCAGCAAGGACCAAGTGGATTCATGACATGTAAAACTGAACAACTTCGGTGGCTCAGTGGGAAAACAGTGGGTTACAAAACACAATATGTATAGGTATAACAATTGAAATGGAAAACCTCAAAGCAAGTTTAGAAGTGACTCATTTCAAAACCCGCTTACTAAGTTTACTCCTGAAAAGTCTTATACCCGCAATGAGGTCTTACTAATAAAAAGTAAAACCTCATTCTCAGTCTTACTACTAAAAAACCTTATACACAGGATGAGGTCTTACGAAGAAAAAGTAAAACCTCATTCTCAGTCTTACTACTAGAAAAACCCTTATACCCAGGATAAGGTCTTACTAAGAAAAAGTAAAACCTCATTCTCAGTCTTACTACTCAAAAACCTAATACCCTGGATAAGGTCTTACTAAGAAAAAGTAAAACCTCATTCTCAGTCTTACTACTAGAAAAACCCTTATACCCAGGATAAGGTCTTACTAAGAAAAAGTAAAACCTCATTCTCAGTCTTACTACTCAAAAACCTAATACCCTGGATAAGGTCTTACTAAGAAAAAGTAAAACCTCATTCTCAGTCTTACTACTAAAAAGCCTTATACCCAGGATGAGGTCCTACGAAGAAAAAGTAAAACCTCATTCTCAGTCTTACTACTAAAAACCCTTATACCCAGGATAAGGTCTTACTAAGAAAAAGTAAAACCTCAATCTCAGTCTTACTACTAAAAACCCTTATACCCAGGATAAGGTCTTACTAAGAAAAAGTAAAACCTCATTCTCAGTCTTACTACTGAAAAACCTAATACCCTGGATGAGGTCTTACGAAGAAAAAGTAAAACCTCATTCTCAGTCTTACTACTAAAAGAGCCTTATACCTGGCACGAGGTCTTACTATGAAAAAGTAAAACCTCATATTCAGTCTTACTACTGAAAAACCTTATACCTGGGATAAGGTTTTACTGAGAAGAAGTAAAACCTCATTCTCAGTCTTACTACTGAAAAAAACTGATACCCGGGACGAGGTCTTACAAAGAAAAAGTAAAGTCTCCTTAGAGGTTATGACAAGAAACAAGTACCGTATTTTCTTGAGTATAGTGCACACTTTTTTTCGAAAAAACACAGCTGTGTAGAAGGGGGTGAGCATTATACACGAATTATGAGTTTGGATGTTTTTTTCCCCCCATGGAAAGACATTACCGTGAGCACGAAACACCGGAAATACCATGTCAACAAATCCATACTGAAGTACGCAAAATAATCATGTAATTACACTGTCTGGCTATAAAAGTGTTCTTTGTATATCTGGACTTATGTTTGTAACTTAATTCATTAATTTTATTCAAAATTCCTTATAATATTGTTTTTATTAATTTCGGCGAAATCGTGTGTGAAGCGATCGGAAGATCGCACAACTCAACATTATTAACAGCAACCAGGGTCAGAATACCGCTATTGACGCCTTGAAACGAACTTTAGTTGACAGAGAATGGATACATATATCATAATGACATACTTTGACTCGTTAAAAGTCATATTTGTTTTTGTTTGACGATTCTATGTCAACATGAAATTCTCACGATCACGTGCGCGTGAGCCTTGACGGTGACTTGTCAGACTGGTTCCATGTAAAAAATAATACCCGGCTTCGCTTAGGGTTATTATTATTTTAAATATGTTTAGTAAAGGCTGCATATAATTAAGAAAATAATGGAATATATTATTCCTGATAAAAAAAATAGTTTCAGATACAATTGTTGCCGATCCTTGCATTAAAAATCCTATAAAGTTATATCATTGGGTGTGTCTTGACCGAATCACCGGTCGATTCCAAGAAAACGTGTGTACAGCTTATTGCTGTTTCCGGCTTAGTTTCCGAGAAAATACACAAGGTAATCTTAATCCCTAGATATAAAACAATGCCTAGCAGAACAATAAATACTATTTAAACGGTAAATAAACATGTCTGGTGATTTTTTATCTCAAATTTCAAATTTGTACTGACGAAGATTCTCAGCACCTGTTCGTTTGCCAGACTTCGCTGAAAGGGTACGGTGTAAATTTTTTCTGCACATAATATTCAAATTTCTTTTTTTCCAAAATATTGAACCCGCTAGAGGGGGTGCACATTATACATGGGTGCGCACTATACTCAAGAAAATACGGTAGTGTCCAAAGCAATGGTCAATATCCGTGACAGGTTGATAAGAGAAGTGTTTGTCAGCCATTCTTACACCCAATCATCATTGTCTCCACGGACTATTGATGTGGAGCTAAATTAGGTACATCTCAAATCTCAAACTGAAAACTAAATGTAATTCTCTTTTTAAACCATGAAAAAATCAGTGGACTAGATTGTGAATTCTTAAACACACCAACAATCTCATAGAAAGATTATTTCAAGTTTATTTATTTATAAAATTTGTCAATGTATGTGAACTTCCAAACAAGATATACACAAATATTGGAATAATAATGGTATAAATTAGTTTACTTTAAATAAGAACTGTTTCCATTGGCACTCAAGCCTTTAGGACAATTTATTACAGCAACACACCTTGTATCAATGTGCGCAAGACAAATTGAGTCACAAAAGGTACATTAATTAATACAGCTCTCACCTGTTGTACCTCACCTCTAGACTGACATGAGTCTGTGTACACACCAAGTCAGGTATATTAGTTTCTGTGCTGATAAAACCTGACACCCATTATTGTGCTCCCAGAGCATATAGGCCACGTGCATGATACCAGATTAACAGATTACAGAGATTAACTCCAGACCTTCAGCCCACCCATACAAACACTCAAGGGTCAAGCTACATCGAGATCACAGCAGGATGGATGTCATAACCCATATATTATTGTTTGTTTGTTGTTTAACACCTCACTCAGCAATATTCCAGCTATATGATGGCTGCTTTGAAATGATCAAGTTTGGACCAGAACATCCATTGATTGATATTGTGAACAACGATCCACACATCGGGGTACAATGACTCGCAATCAACTAAGTCATCTAGCCTGACCACCTGATCTATTAAGTCACCTCCTACAATCAGCATACTGTATTCGACGTAATAAGCGCCCCGCTCTAAAAAGCACCCACGGCAATATTTGCTAATATATTGGCTAGTGAACAATCCCAATTAGCACCCCTTACCAATTGATCAGTGTACACAAGACTTATTTATTCGCGTATAATACACACTCGTGTGTTATATGTACCCTTCATTATGGGCAATTTAATTCTGGAAAAATGTCGCACACAAACATTTCAGGCTGTCAGCATTAACCACGAAATTTATCTTTCAACTGTTTTTTTCCACCAAAAAAATATCCAAATAAGAGCCCCCTATTCTTAATTTTGAGAGCCCCCTGGGCGCTTATTACGTCGAATATGGTAAGTACTTGGGGAGCAACTGTAACCCAGCATCCCCATTGGGTCACTCATAGAATTAAAAGAGTTGAAGAGTTAAGGCGACACTTTTTTTTTAGTTTCAGTGTGGAGTGCAGAGTGTATAGCAGCCACACTAAAAGTCACAATAAGAAAAAAAGACAACATCTGACGCTCCAACTTTGAAGGATTAGAAAAATGAAAAGATACAAATATCACATAAACGTTAAGTAATGATTAACTTTTGAAATAAAAATTCATGAAACTTTTGTCTGTAGTACAGTAAACTACGGTTATAACGAACTAAAAGTTCGTTATAACCAAAGTTCGTTATAAGCATATATACAGCAAATGGCAGGGACAAAAAAACATTTCATTATAAGCGTGTTCGTTACAAACATAGTTTACTGTATCTGGTAGGGCTGGTTGAGTCCTAATTTACTCCCCGCATACCTGACCATCTATTACCCCCATACCTGCTGTAGGTCTCAAGAGTGCGGTACAAAATGTCTAATCGGGAATTGTTTTACCGCAGCCCTGGCAAAAACTATTTAGATACATGTAAAAAATGATCAGATCATGCACACACTGAAGTTACTCAAACATTTTAAAGTCAGAAGGAATGTGCACATTGTCAGAAAAATGCCAACATTAGATTCTTGTAGTGTAACCATGGAGTTTTATTATTTTTGTCATTAAACAATATATCACATGACTAACCATGGGTCCGGGTACCTGGGTCCTACTCAGTACCTACCCAACTTGAGTTCCCGAGTTACTGTCCCAGCTCTGGCTATAAACGCCTTTTATAAACCTCTGGTGACGTCATACCATTGTTCTTTATGGGATTTTCTCCTTTGAGCAAGTGCTTGGATCAATCAAGTTGAACACGTTGAAAGGCTAGAGCGACTTTCAATATACATTGGAAGGTCTTACCTTACCAAGAAGACCAGCTTTGAGGTTTTGCTTCTTTCAAGTAAGACCATATGTCTTACTTTGAATCATAAATAAGACCAGCTTTGAGGTTTTACTTGTTTCAAGTAAGACCATAGGTTTCATTTTGAATCATAAATAAGACATGTTTTGAGGTTTTACTTGTTTCAAGTAAGACCATAGGTTTTACTTTTAATCATAAATAAGACCTGCTTTGAGGATTTACTTCTTTCAAGTAAGACCATAGGTTTTACTTTGAATCATAAATAAGACCAGCTTTGAGGTTTTACTTGTTTCAAGTAAGACCATAGGTTTTACTTTGAATCATAAATAATACCTGCTTTGAGGTTTTACTTGTTTCAAGTAAGACCATAGGTTTTACTTTCAATCATAAACAAGAGTTTGCCACTAACATGGCTATATCCCCCGCCCCTGTTGCAGAATTTATGACATAATTAAATCTAAACAAACCATAACCTTTTTTAACCGAGGTGGAACTTGCAATGGAAACGTAAAAAATAAAAATGGCTAAAATTTCTAAATAGCAAAAGGCACCAGTTCAGCATGTACCTGACAGACCTGCAAAGTTTGATGAAAAAATATTGAACGGTTTATGAGTTATGCTCCAGAAACAAACCCTACCCTCACAGAACCTAAGTCCATCTTGTTGCCATGGAAACATAACAAAATAAAAATTTCTAAATAGCAAAAGGCACCAGTTCATTATGTTCCTGACAGACCTGCAAAGTTTGATGAAACGGTGAAATATTGAATGGTGTATGAGTTATGCTCCGGAAACGAAACGTGACGGACGGACGGAGCCTGTTTCTATATCCCCCACCAACTTTGTTGGGCGGGGGATAATAAGACCTGTTTTGAGGTTTTACTTCTTTCAAGTAAGACCATAGGTTTTACTTTGAATCATAAATAAGACCTGCTTTGAGGTTTTACTTCTTTCAAGTAAGACCAATTTTGGTGAATTTTGTGCTGCTTTTAGCAATGTTCCAGCCATATCACTGCGGGAGACACCAGAAATGGGCTTTACACATTGTACACATGTTGGGAATAGAACCCAGGCCTTCGACAGGACAAGCCAATGCTTTATCTACTAGGCTACCCCACCATCCTCCCAGACAACAAGTTACTCCCACCAGGTGAATTGTCATAGCTGAGCTGAATCGCCAAAATCAGTTAATCCCAGGTGCCAGAGAGACCAGACTTTTTATTTCATGGTCTACAGATGGTTTTATTTTTTTTAAAACTCCTGGTTAGTGGGTAGGAAAAAAAGTTATATAAAAAACAATTCAGATTTTGTTGTTCTTCAAAATGCTATAGGAATATGTTGCCATGTGTGCAATGTTAGTCCAGCCTGTCTCATTGTGTCAATAGTATATGCGACCGCCTCCGTGGTCTAGTGGTAGAGCGTCCACCCGGGGAGCGGAAGGTCAGGGGTTCAATCCCCGGTGGCGTCATACCAAAAGACGTTAAAAGATGGTACTTGTTGTTACCCTGTCTGGCGCTCGGCATTAAGGGGCTAAAACAAGGACTGGTCGGCTCGGAGTCAGTATACTGTGTCTGAGTGGGGTATTCATGTTAAACTGCGGCATGGTATCTCAGTGAGCTAGCACTATAAATCGGCATTAGTCCGGACTAGTACAAGCAGCCACACAAACACACACACGTACATGCACGTCGCTTTATAAGTGCAATAATCTTGGACGCGACGTTAAACCCCATTTCACCTCACCAATAGTATATGCACATCTTGTAAGGTAAACATGAAGGTAGTCTGTCTCGCAGTCCCTCAACCATATCATGTTCCCTTCCTGTAATGTCATAGCCCTAAATGAAGCAAGTATGATTTTCCACGGGTTCATTTATCTTCCATCTCACTGGGGATCCTTTTCAATTTAAATGGAATTGTTTGTTTTTATCAAAATTATTTATTTTAAGAGTCTACATCCATCCTAGTCTGTCTCATAGTCTCTGAACCATATCATGTTCCCTTCCACCAGCCCTTACTGTGATTTATTAAAGCCCTAAATGAAGCAAGTCTAGCTTTTCCACAGGTTCAGGGATCTCTGATCTCACTGGGGCTCCTTTTCAATTTAAGTTACTTGTATAAATTTATTGTATTTTCAGAGACTAAGCGTCAGTCTAGCATGTAAGTTGCATTATGAGGAAGAAAAAATAACACTTTTGAGATTAGATTTTTGTCCATTTTATAAAATGTAGGGTGGGCAGAAAAACAAGTCTTGACTGACTTACCTCTGAGTTCCTCTTCATGCTGCGGCGATCATGGAGTTCTATCCACTCCTTCTCCAGACGGAGCGCCTGGTAGCTGGTGTTCCACCGGTCCTGGCTGTCTAGATCAAGGATCTTCTTTTCCACTAGGACCCCAGTCTGTAAGGACAACCACACACATAAGGTAGCTGTCATTGTAATGGAGGGGGGAGGGGGGAGGCGGCAGAGGATGCAAAATTGAAACTCAAGAAAATCAGTTAAATCTTTAGAACTTTGGTTTGGTTTGGTTTGTTGTTTTACGCCACACTCAGCAATATTCCAGCTATATGACGGCGGTCTGTAAATAATCGAGTCTGGACCAGAAAATCCAGTGATTAATATCATGAGCATCGATCCACACAATTGGGATCGATGACATGCATCAACCAAGTCAGAGAGCCTGACCACCCGATCCCGTTAGTCGCCTTTTACGACAAGCAAAGTCGCCTTTTATGGCAAGCATGGGTTGCTGAAGATAAGAACTAAATTCCCAAGTGAACATACCAGAAATACAAAGGTATGTACATCATCAGCCTCTTTGATTTTGTATTGAACATCTCCCATAAGAAAGTGTATATAAACTTGATATACATGTCATGGGTTCTGTCAGATTCGATGGCGTTTCTTTATCTTGCCTATCCTTGTTAACTTATACTTTGATGTTTGGAGAATTTAACATTTTGCATGTACACTTCCTACCAGATGTTTGTCTCCCCTTGAAAGCAGCCCAGGTGACTTGGTCGGTGTGCTGCCGTTAGCAACAGCCCGCTTCTTGCTGGCGTATGATTGGCCGGTGTGTACCGTGCAGGCAGGTGATGAATCCCTGCAACAACATCGTATCTTAGTGTGAACTCGATATTCCTCAGTGAGGGGAACTAGTGTAGCCCGGACACCAGTCTAATAACAACTGTGAAACATGTGTCCCTTCTGATGGGACTGTAGGAGTCATGTGGTGCATAGGACCTGGGGATTAAATGTGATAGGTGTTGTCTGGGGATAAATTATTATACATCCCATCTGGGGATAAGTTGTGATAAATGTTATTTGGGGATAAAATATCATACATTTCATCTTGGGATAAATTGTGATACAGCTTATCTGAAGATAAATTGTAAAAAGTGTTATCTGAGGATAAATTATTTTACATCTCATCTGAAGATAAATTGTGATAGGTGTTATCTGGGGATAAATTATAATACATTTCATCTGGGGATTAATTGTGATAAGTGTTACCTAATAATTATTATACATCTCATCTGAAGATAAATTGTGATAAGTGTTATCTGGGGATAAATTATTATACATCTCATCTGAAGATAAATTGTGAAAAGTTTTATGGGGATATATTATTGTACATCTTATCTGGGCATAAATCATAAAAAGTGTTATCTGGGGATAAATTGTGATACATCTCATCTGGGGATAAATTGTAAAAAGTGTTACTGGGGATGAATTATTATACATCTCATCTGAGGATAAATTGTGATACTTTTCAACTGAAGATCAACTGTGATAAGTGTTATCTGGGGATAAATTATTATTCATCTCATCTGGGGATAAATTGTGATACATCTCATCTGAAGATAAATTGTGAAAAGTGTTATCGAGGGATAAATTATTGTAATCTTATCTGGGGATAAATCATAAAAAGTGTTATCTGGGATTAAATTGTGATACATCTCATCTGGGGATAAATTGTAAAAATTGTTATCTGGGGATAAATTATTATACATCTTATCTGGGGATAAATTGTGATCCATCTCATCTGGGAACAAATTGTGACATATCTCATCTGAGGATAAATAATAATACATCTCATCTTAATTGTGATAAGTGTCATCTTGGGTTAAATTGTGATAAGTCCAATTTGGGATAAATTAAATCATGATCTAACCATGATCTACATATCAGACAGTTTACAAGTAGAAACACATTAGAACTATTGATATTTATTGCATGATGTCCACTGTTCAATATTGTATTTTACTGATGTCATTGTTCCTAGACTTGAGAGTCTAGAGGACCAGAAGTACATATTCACCCACAAACATGACACAATATTTTGTGATAAAAAACTTTTAATTTCTTTTTTTTTTTAAATAAATTTTACTGATGTTTTCTTGAACCAACATCGAAGAAAAGTGAAAGAGGGCATATCTTGACATCGATATATATTTTATCTGCAGGTAATATAACAATAGAGTTAAACAAGGAGATAAGATACATCCTTAATCAAACATTTGACACTATTGGCAAAACACAGCTAACAATGAATACAATGTTACAATAATGTATATCACATGCAGTTCACCATCAATCTCCCACATTCAGATCACACTAAAGGCATAAAGTTAGAGTACCATACTCTTCCATGATTTTATCATTTCCCTGATACCGGTAAGTGAAATATTGCATGCCTCGCCTGCAGCTCGATACTAGCACAATACATGTGTGATATACAAGTGTTATTTCCACCTCCGTCACCCCAGTACAATGACATGATGTAAATCTCGTATGAACACAGCCCAGCATTTCCCTGGTGACACTGGTGGTGAATGGGCTGTATTGACCCGTCAGGGTTGCCTATGCAGCGACAATAACACTCACTCACTGTGGGACTCTCGATCTCAGCTCGTAAAGGGAGCCACAATTCCTGAAATCCTGGTCGAGATCACGCTGTTCTCAAAGACAACACTCACTGACATAATCTGTAATGATCTCTTGATTTCCCTCTCTTTGACTCCAATGACTTTTACAGTTGTCACTCTCATGGAGAATTTGACACCAGGGGGCCAGGAGATCACAAGGGAAGGGAGAGGTCAGAAGTAGGGGAGCGCAGGTTAGACATGTGGAGATTGGGGGGTAGACACATACCTATAGTCTGTATCGATCTGTTCTGTTGACGAGATCTTATCTGACATTCAGTGTTCAGACCTGGTTGGGTTAAAGCCACATGGTTTTTTTTATTTTAATATTTGATGTACACATTATTTTAAATGTCTGCTAGCCTGGGTCAGAAAGTCCTATACATGTATATACTACAGCTGTACTGGTAATGTGCCAACATTAACCATAATAAAATAGTTTAGGCTAAAAAAATAATAGTCTTGGTTCTTAGGCACTGCCCACATCATCATAAATTTGCCGCACGTTTTGTTTTTATTTCCATTTTTCAAAAAAGACAAAAAAGTCTATAAATATTTCAAGTTCCATGATAGTCAAATACTGCATTCCAGTGTATACTCACCAAGGAATACAGTTATGTAGGGAGGCCCTTTCCCAGGTTGATTGTACACATACCAGTTTGAATAACAAAAAAAACACCAAAAACACCACCGCCTTACCGCTCTAAATTTTCAAAAGCCATTGCCTGAGAACCAATTCTTATATATTTTTTTTAAGCCTTAAGCATTGATTATTGTCAAGCCAAATCACACAACATGCACAATGTCAAGCAAAAAATATAAGCAATTGATTTATTGTGACCAACGCTTAGCAAACAGTCTGTAAACTATAGAAAAAACTATGTGACCCCAAGTACAAGAAAAGATTTAATGTTGCCTGATAAAGCCTAATGACTTTTTGTAGGAATAAAAATGCTTTTCAATAGGGCTGCAACGCTAGACTGTGTCACGATACACTAGTGCTGATCTCTGAAGGGTAATGTTGCAATATGATACAAGAAAACTTTACACTTGTCATGTTAAACCATCCATCATGACAAGTCAACAAAACATATTCGTAAACTATACAACCGATTATACCATTATCATACACTTAATTTCACAAAAAGGTTCCAACATTGTACACCTGTTGGGTGTTAAATAAACTGTTGTGTGCCATATAAAATGTTGGGTATCAAATATAAACTATTGGGTGTCAAATAAACAGTTGGGTTTTACATAAATCGTTGGGTGTCAAATAAACTGTTGGGTGTCATATACTAACTGTTGGGTGTCATATAAACTGTTGGATGGCATATATAAACTGTTGGGTGTCGTATATAAACTGTTGGGTGTCATATAAACTGTTGGGTGTCATATACTTACCAGTTGAGTGTCAAATAAACTGATGGATGTCATATTAACTGTTGGTTTCATATTTACTGTTGGGTGTCATATAAACTCTTGGGTGTCATCTAAAAATTGTTGGGTGTCATATATAAACTGTTGGGTGTCATATAAACTGTTGGGTGTCATCGGTGTTACATAAATTGTTGGGTGTCAAATAAACTGTTTGGTGTCAAATAAACTGTTGGGTGTGATATATAAATTGTTGGGTGTCATATAAACTGTTGGGTGTCATATAAACTGTTTGGTGTCATATATACTATCAGGTGTCCCATAAAGTGTTGGGCATTATATAACTGTCGGGTGTCATATAAACTGTTGGGTGATATATCATGTAAATACTGTACAGTGTTACATACATTATCAAGAACGGCCTATAGGAGAGGGGGGGGGGCTCCCTCCATGGTGACAGTCAAGGCATAGTCAAGTATGTGGCTGCTGTGAGCCAGGCACACTCTAAGGAGTAGAACACACTCAGGATATAATACAGGAATACACAACATTCAAATCCAGATCTCTCTGCCAGACGTTGAGTGGGGCATAGCAGATTTACCCCAAGTGTTCACAACGGTTTTCATGCTTATAACTCCATAAACGCAAAAACATACTGAAGTTAATTCCTATAAATATATAATAAGGATAATAATAACAATAACACAAAATCAGTGTCATCATTTAGCACAGTACTGTAACACAAGCCCCTCTTATTTTATTATCAGCCTATTAAGAAACAGTAGTCTTTTAGTGGGCATGACTTAATTAATTTTCAATTTATGGAAACATAAATGCATAACAAGTTTTTTGGCTCCTCAATCAAATGCCATGGAATCACTTGCAATGTATTTATATTGCAAAACATTTTCAAAGTATTATCTGAGGGTTTTTAGGTAATGGATTGTAACATCTTGTAAAACCAAATTTCTGCCTGGCTTTCTGTCCTTGTGTATCATCATACACGCAGGACACCATCATATAGCTATTTACTGACGTGACAGAAACAGTGACATCAATAAGTGATACTAACAACTACACTTAATATAATGATATAGTTATCAAAGGGTCCTTTCCCTCCTTAATAATCACAAGTAGTGATAGTGCTAACTAATGTATGTGATATGAGAGTTATCACCTGGGCCTTTCCCTCCTTAATAATCACACGTAGTGGTTTTGGTTTGGTTTGGTTGGTTGTTTAACACCGCACTCAGCAATATTCCAGCTATATGACGGCGGTCTGTTAATAATCGAGTCTGGACCAGACAATCCAGGGATTAATATCATGAGCATCGATCCACGCAATTGGGATCGATGACATGCATCAACCAAGTCAGCGAGCCTGACACACGATCCTGTTAGTCGTCTTTTACGACAAGCATAGTCACCTCTCACGGCAAGCATGGGTTGCTGAAGACCTTTTCTACCCCGGAATCTTCACGGGTCCACACGTAGTGATAGTGCTAACTAATGTATGTGATATAAGAGTTATCACCGGGTCCTTTCCCTCCTTCATAATCACAAGTAGTGATAGTGTTAACTAATGTATGTGATTTGAGAATTATCTCCAGGTCCTTTCCCTCCTTAATAATCACAAGTTGTGATAGTGCTAATGTATGTGTTATGAGAGTTATCACCGGGTCCTTTCCCTCCTTAATAATCACAATTAGTGCTAACTAATGTATGTGATATGAGAGTTATCACCGGGTCCTTTCCTTCCTTAATAATCACCTGCAGTGATAGTGCTACCTAATGTATGTGATATGAGAGTTATCACCGGGTCCTTTCCCTCCTTAATAATCACCTGCAGTGATAGTGCTAACTAATGTATGTGATACAAGAGTTATCACCAGGGCCTTTCCCTCCTTGATAATCACACACTACAAGATACAACAAAATGTTTAATAACCAAGACCTCCTCTGCTTTTATCAGGAAACTGATCCAGAAACTGATTTCAGCCTTATGTTGAACATATCCATACAAAAGATAAGAGACGTATGGGACTGCGAAGGTAGTTGTGCAGTAGAAACATGACATATTTTCTCTTTCATACACCAACATTAATATTTTTTCAATACAAAAGCTAGCTTCACATAATTTTTTAATAGAAATACATGTAAATTTTTCAATTGCCATAGGGCACTCATGAAAATGTTTAGGTTAGGTGTGCCTTGGAATTAAAGCATGTTAACAATATATAATTTTGATCACTGTGAAAAAATCCTTTCACCAAGAATAGAACAAAGGTGTTATTTTTTCCCTTCCTTCTTCATTGAGATTGATAAAACGCTATTTAGTGGGGTTTTTCAGGCCATCAGCAGTAAGTCAAAAGGAATGTCTAACACAGTAAACCCACAGTGGGGTTCCCCAATCACAACACTTTGCCACTTGACGTGATGAAGTAAATGACAACTCTCAGGTGTTGGGTTCTATTCAAGCAACACACTCCATGACACACTAACTCAATAGCCATGATGACCCTGGTATTGAGCCCTAGGTAATGTGGGGGACACTTGCATTACCATGATAAAGCTCTGCCATAGTACACACGGTCGCACAGGATTGACTCCTATTGTGATGTATCGATTCTGTCACCAACACAGCAACCTAGTGAATTACCCCCCCAACCTGATCTTCACACACAAACATAAATAAACCAGCACTGTCTGCCCAGTCAAGCCAACACACAGCTGCACTAGCAAAGTCTCAAAACATTGTCTGTATATTAACTAAATCCCATGTAACGTGTACAAAGTTGAATAGAAGTCCACTCCATTCTAGAATATATTCAAAATAGAGAAGCTCACCCAAGTCTTTTGATATCAAATATATCAACACAAGTCAAAAGTTTAAAACTCTAATTGACGAGAGTTGACATATTTGATATCAAAAGACACTCGGGTGAGTTTCTCTTTATCAGCCAAAACCATTCTTCCCACTTTATTACTTTGTACACAGTAATAACTTGTGTGTTGTGTGTAACAAGTAGAGCTAACAGTGTCACAGAGGTAAGTGATGTCACTTAATTGTGATGTCATTGTAACCGATGGCATCACAATGGCCTGCAAAGCATTAAAATGCAATTTTATTGCAGCAATATCTCCTTGGAGATATTCCTAGATCTCGCCAGTGGAAGCCATAAATAGAAGCCATAAGATAAATTAGAATCCCCTAGTACCGGTAAATAACCAATAAATGCCCCTCACCTGTTGACGCCATCGTGTGTCCTCTTTAACATTGCTTCATTAGGATCTGCTGTATTCAGGTTCATCTGAAACAAACACCAAACAACATATATATGAAACAAACGACATGTAGACAATAGCATGGGGACAAGGTAGGTAGCATCTGGAATACTGTTTTTGAACAATTACAACAATTGTCTCACTGAACAATACAATTTTGCTTCTAGACACACTGAAGGCCTGGCTTCAATTCCCAAATTGGGTAAAATGTGTGAAGCCCATTTCTGGGGTCCCACTCACTCCTGGGTAGAATAGGTCTTCAGCAACCCATTCTTGCTGTAAAAGGCGACTATGCTTGTCAAAAAAGGCAACTAGCGAGATCGGGTGGTCAGGCTTGCTGACTTGGTTGATGCATGTCAACGATCCCATCACGATCGATGCTCATGATATCAATCACTGGATTGCCTGGTCCAGGCTGGATTATTTACAGACTGCCGTCACATAGCTGGAATATTGCTGAGTGCGGCGTAAAACAACAAACCAACCAACACTCACTCACCTCTATCTATCAATCTATCCATCTACCTATCTATTTATCTATTGTTCTGACTGTCTGCAAAAGCCCTGGGCAAACTGGCCACCAATTTGGTTCATCGTCAAAAATAAATGAACATAAAATTATTCAGCATTCTTGTTAAAAAATTTATGTTTCATCATTCCAACAATTTATTGACTGAGCTAGAAAATCTTTTTAAATCTTTTTTTAAAGACTATCGGTAATTCATAGAACAACCCACCATTACTCTCTACTCAGAGTGTTCAAAGGATTAACTGTCACCCATTCATTAATGTTGAAGATCATTCACCAAGGATAAAGATTTACAAAATGAGTTTACTGTGGCAGATATCTGTAATTCCTTGTGGTTCATAGGTCATTTTCAAAGTACATGATAGATGAAGAAATTCACATATTTTGAGGATCATTTATATTTCAACACAATCAAATAGTCCAATAAAATAAAACAAAAATTCTTGAAACATTGTTCATAAGAATAAAAGACTACAGACATATCAAAAATGTATTAATAGTTGACACTTGCATTGTTTGGCCTGTTAGAATTTTATTCATTCTTCACATTTTCTAAATATTACTGTATTTGAGGGCGCTCTCCAAATTAGAAATGAGGGGCTCTTATTACAATATTATTTTGGTGAGAAAAACAGGGTTGAAAGATATATTTCGTGGTTTATGCTGACAGCCTGAAATGTTATATTTTTCTGTAATTTAATTGCCCATTATTAAGGGTGCATATATCACACGAGTGGGTATTATATGCGAATAAATAAGTCTTGTGTACATAGATCAATCGGAAGGGGTGCTAATTGGGATTGTTCACTAGCCAATATATTAGCAAATATCGCTGTGGGCGCTTATTAGAGGGGGGCGCTTATTACGTCGAATACAGTAAATGTCAAAAAGCATGTATACAAGAGCTGGGAGAGTAACTTGGGTACTCAGGTCAGGTGGGTCCTGAATAGGATCCGGGTAGTCCTGTGGGTCCATAGTGTTAGTCACCTGCTACATTGTTTAATGAGAATAAAATTCCATGGTTACACTACAAGTCCCTTAAGTAGCATTTATTCTGACTATGTACACATTATTTGTGACTTTTTTATGTTTTTGTAAACATAAATGTTCAGTCAACTTCAGTGTACACATGATCAGATTATTTCATCCATGCATTGAAATAGTTTTGGCCAGGGCTACATTAAAACAATTCCTGATCACACATTTTGTACCAACTCTTGAGACCTACAGTGGGTAAACGGGTAGGGTCGGGTAATAGAGGGGTGGGTACCCGGGTAGTACATTTGGACTCATCCCAGCCAAAAAGTATACATGTCACATCTTATAAAGTAGTTTGAGATGAGTGAGTGAGTTAGGTTTAACGCCGCTTTTAACAATATTCCAGTTATATCACGGCGTGTCAGCTTAATGTGGGAGGAAAGCCCAAAGTGATGCAGGTCTCAGACGTTTACCACTTCGGTGAAACCCACGAGCACGGGTTTGGTGCTGACAAATCTAGAAACATAATCAGGGCGATCTGGGATTCGAACCCACAATCATAGGTTTCTGGCGTGCTCAAGGGACGCAACTCTGCACAGCGAATCGCGGCGCCTTAGACGACTGGGCCAGCCGGGCCCCCTGTTTAAGATGAGAAGGTGGTTTATTTATGAGTAACAGTTTCATGTGACACAGTGCCTACCTGCAACAGGGTGGCCCCTGGGGTTGACTTGCCGCCGACCTCTGACTTCCGGGAGGGGGGGTGAGACTTGCGATGGGGGCTGGAGCGCATGGGGAAAGAACTCCGGCCAGCCTTGTCAGAGAAGCGGCCTGTGTCTCTGCCTGTGCTCATTATCTTGCGCAAGATCTTCTCCGTGGCCTGCAGGTCTGGGAGAGACGTGTACGACATGTAAACATAAATTAGCCTCTCTTGTTTCATCAACTGGTTTACGGATTATTCTTTTCAAAAACCATATTGATGGTTGAAAAAAAAATATTTCAAAATTGAAAAACATTTCTTCTTAAAGTGATCCTGTAAGTGTTTGGTTAATTGGGGGAAATAATTATAAAAAAGAGCCACAAGGCTCTATAGCTCACCTGAATTATGAAGAAATAATGGCATCTATGTTAAAAGTTGAACTGGATATTCTGTGAGCAATGTTTGCCGACAACATAGCTGATGTCATTCATACAAGGTGTTAAAGTTAACATCGGATGGACAACCAGGCAACAAGACCATGGACAATATACCATTACAAAAGCTTACTTGACTTTCAGCCAGGTGAGCTACTAATAAAATGGAATATAACAAGGAAAAATATTCTGGAGGGAAAGTCAAAGGGTTACGTTCAACCTCTACTTGGAAAAATAGGACTCTCATCAAAATCAGACCTCCAATACTGATTTCGTAGAGTAATTATTCACTGTAATATTGATAAACATCAAAACAAATGAGCTAGCAGACAAACAGAGTGGGGTTGCAAGTGTTTAAATCAAGCTTGCAAGGACTGCCAGTTGGTCCAATCCTAGTCCCCTTTTATCTATTCAAATCGGTAACCATTTTTTACATATAATTACTAATTCCCAACATTAATCATGCTACTGCCAGCTTCTAGTTCTAGGTGCACATGCACTTAACACATTGCCTGTCCCAGATCTATTGTTGTCCATGTCACACTGACCTGTGTGGCCACACATCCACACACCCACCCCACACAACTACTAACATGACTGTTGTAACTAGATGTAATCTACATGAAGGACGCCATGACAAATCACACAGCTTTGTGTATTAAACAATTTCAATTTGTCTTGGGCAGAGTACCTAAAACATGAGAATGACAAAGTTGAATTTGACATGCTAATCAGTCACACATGCAGGACTGACAGTATCAACCAAACAATCACACTTTCCTTATTAGTAAGACGGGCGGTTGGATAGCCAAGTGGTTAAAGCATTTGCTCGTCACGCCTAAGACCCGGGTTCGAATACCGACATGGGTACAATGTGTGAAGCCCATTTCTGGTGTCCCCCACTGTGATATTGAAGGAATATTGTTAAAAGCAGCGTGTAAAACCATACTTATTAGTAAGACCCAATAAGTATCCCAGCCAACTTATTATTTCTGTTGTTCTTTCTTGTCGAAAGAAGCGAGTCAATTTGATTGATGACTTGGTTCATTGCCTGTCACATTAACCCCAGAGGCGTCGGATGTTGCTCATAATATCAACCACTGGTTTGTCTGGCCCAGGGGCCCATTTCACAAAGCAATCACAGCATGTCTTTGCATGTCTGTGTGTTTGGATTTTAACACAGCAACCAGCAATATTCCAGCAATATGATGGCGGCCTGTAAAAAATCGAGTAGACCAGACAACCCAGTGATCGATACCACAAGCAGCGATCCCCATGTCATGGTACAATGACATATCATCGACCAAGTCACCGAGCCCGACCGACCGATCCATTTGGCCACCTCTTGTGACCAGCAAAGGTCGTTTGGGACCAGATCCCCCCCGGCATCCCCGCAAGCGTTTATCTTTGCATTTCAGTATTTATATGAATCTTAGGATAACAATGCAGCAAATCGCAAGCGTTATTGATATTACACAGATGCCATTTATTTCGCTCCATATACTTTGTGAATAAACTGACACGCAGTGTGCCAATTTATGAGGTATCGCAGGCCACCTGAATATTGCTGAATATTACAAACAAACAAGCCTACCGACCCTTATATATGTTTTAGGACATGTTACCTGAAACGCAAAGAACTTTTAGAGTCTCGGCAAATAATACAAACTAAAACTGTTGTAGGTTTTATGGCCCATCACACATTCCATAGCCTGTTGAAGTGCATGTAGCTTCAAGCTTACCCACAGTTTATGCACAACAGATTGAAGCGATAGCAATGTTTGCCTTTCTACTTTATTACCAGTTTCTATCAATGGTGGACAATGTTATCTTGGCTTCCATGTCCATAAACCTCTCGCCTATCAATTATGGCTCTCCTAAATATATACACAGTCAACCTTGCAACAATCTGAAGACACAGTGAGGTCGCACTGACCACCTTTGTTAACGTGTATTGTTTAATAAGGCACAATAATAAAAACATAACCCGTATAAATTTTTAAACAACTTTATCAAAGATTTATCAAGACAAGCTAAACAGTAAAAGGTTTATCAAAGATTTATCAAGACAAGCTAAACAGTAAAAGGTTTATCAAAGATTTATCAAGACAAGCTAAACAGTAAAAGGTTTATCGAAGATTTATCAAGACAAGCTAAACAGTAAAAGTTTTATTAAAGATTTATCAAGACAAGCTAAACAGTAAAAGTTTTATTAAAGATTTATCAAGACAAGCTAAACAGTAAAAGTTTTATCAAAGATTTATTAAGACAAGCTAAACAGTAAAAGGTTTATCAAAGATTTATCGAGACAAGCTAAACAGTAAAAGGTTTATCAAAGATTTATCGAGACAAGCTAAACAGTAAAAGTTTTATCAAAGATTTATTAAGACAAGCTAAACAGTAAAAGGTTTATCAAAGATTTATCGAGACAAGCTAAACAGTAAAAGGTTTATCAAAGATTTATCGAGACAAGCTAAACAGTAAAAGATTTATCAAAGATTTATTGAGACAAGCTAAACAGTAAAAGGTTTATTAAAGATTTATCAAGACAAGCTAAACAGTAAAAGTTTTATCAAAGATTTATTAAGACAAGCTAAACAGTAAAAGGTTTATCAAAGATTTATCGAGACAAGCTAAACAGTAAAAGGTTTATCAAAGATTTATCGAGACAAGCTAAACAGTAAAAGGTTTATCAAAGATTTATCGAGACAAGCTAAACAGTAAAAGGTTTATTAAAGATTTATCAAGACAAGCTAAACAGTAAAAGTTTTATCAAAGATTTATTAAGACAAGCTAAACAGTAAAAGGTTTATCAAAGATTTATCGAGACAAGCTAAACAGTAAAAGGTTTATCAAAGATTTATCGAGACAAGCTAAACAGTAAAAAATTTATCAAAGATTTATCGAGACAAGCTAAACAGTAAAAGGTTTATTAAAGATTTATCAAGACAAGCTAAACAGTAAAAGTTTTATCAAAGATTTATTAAGACAAGCTAAACAGTAAAAGGTTTATCAAAGATTTATCGAGACAAGCTAAACAGTAAAAGGTTTATCAAAGATTTATCGAGACAAGCTCAAAGACAGATTTTCTGTCCCAAGTCTGCAGAAGGTGTCAGTAAATATTCCCCAAAGAAATGAAAAATTCCTGTTATTAGAGTTATAACTAATATAACTGATAGCAGGACCAATGAAGGAGAAGATACTGAATTAAGAAAATAGGAACTGTATATTATAATAAAAAATACATTTTTTGGTAAATCCTTGTTTAATAGTGTTGTCATGTTATAGATAACATCGCACTTGTGAGGTAAACTAGATAAAGCCTTGTTTAATAATGTTATTATAGATCGCATCTCACTTGTGAGATTAACTAGATAATGATTACATAGGAATGCTATCTACATGACCATCTACCTGTAGTCAACTACCTGTCTACCTGTAATCAACTACCAGGTACACTAATTAATGGACACGATGGAATGCGCTACTGGTTTAAAAAAGAATCAGTTTTGTAATGATGCAGACATACACTTATTAAGAATGTTTAGTCTTGTATTCCTAGTATTTCTAAAAGGGCAGTGGGGTGGTCAAGTGGTTAAAGCATTGGCTTGTAATGCTGAGGACCAGGGTTTGATTCCCATCGACGGTAATATAGATGGATCATTTCTAAAAGCATCATTAAACCAGCTATCTCACTAGTATTTCTAATGCTTACACTAAAATTGCACTTGCTTGATAATTAGACTAGTATGTAGCCTTATCTACCATTTATGACATTAACAATTCTTGAGTTCCTAAAACTTCGGAGAACAACCTGATTCATATTATATCTTTTTCACATATTTGATACATATTTTTAGAAATTAGTCAAAAGGGATGGTGCTTAGGTCACAACAGACAGACAGTGCAGGTAACATTTCCCACCACAAGTGCATGGCAGAGGTTATATTTGATAAAAGTGGAGAACTGGAAATTCTTTTAGAACTGGCTGCAAATCTTTTAGAATTCAGGAAACAAAAGTTCATGAAAATAGTGAAATACACGGGTCTGCATGCAGTGAACTTGCAGAACTAATTCTTCACAAGTACCACTAGGACAGTCACTCATGAGGTTTTTTATAATCACAATAAACAGACACTTCGAAATGTTGTTTACTGGATATCATGATGTGAAAAGCCATATACAGACTTCCTCAAAATAAAATACTGGAGCTAATTCTCAAGTTTATTTTCTCTTTGAATTTAATTAATAATCAAAATAATTGAAAATACAGTTTCAGTTTATGATAAAATGGTGCAGCCAATATTATGGTGTTGCAACCTGATTAATTTACTCGGTTGCGCTGGTGCAGGTGGTAAAACAGAATGAAATTGTACCCTACAGACCGACAGACAGTTTTATTTGCATGAAGGCCATCAGACCCATAGTACAAAAAAGGTTTACAAGTACGACTTTCAGAGAGTTATTTCTTAAGGGAAGATAAACAAGTGATTAATCTAAATATCTAATGAGATATTTCTGTTATGTTAGAAAATCACAAATCTGTAATATCCTGGATGTACAAGTATTAAAAGTAGCAGCAAGCTTCTCCAAAATGGCAGCCCATTGACAGGAAGACCTGTTAAACAAGTCATCAAACTGGTTCAGCCTAATATTCTAAAGTAAGTTCTGTCAATAACTACATTTGAATATCTGGTTGCCATGGTTGTGTGGCCGTCCCCCTTATTACCAAGATCTGAACACAACCCACTACATACATAGCTGACAGTCACACACGACTAATCGTCTCCTTAAAAGTAATCCAACCGAAGTCAATCTTATTCAATGCTGTTCTAATCTACGTATATCCTAATACTCTTCTTAGATACCTGAACATACCTCACCAGTGATGACACTGTTTTACTCCACGTGTACTCCTGCTTGCCTCCGTATATCCACTAAGCGTCTACAGCACATTTAGTCTACTGGTCTTGGGTTATTACGGCGTTGTCTTTAGACCCGACTGATCCCCTTGTCAATACTGACAAATCCACGAGGAGATTGTATTGTAGATGTGACGGGCTATGTTCCTTCCACACAAGCCAACAATGAAGCCACTCATGGTCATTGAACACATATAATCTCCCAACGTACTTACTGACATATTAGGACGTGTACCAAGGACTTGTGTATGTAAATCACTTTTTATAATGGAAACTGATCAGTACTGTCTGTAAGTGGTTGTAAATATTGGCTTAGTGGGGTGTGGTGGTGCATGCCGCTGTGTGGTTAGTTTGAACAGGGAATAAACCATCAAACTTGTGTCGCTGCAAGCAAGTTTGTTTTTTTGTTGTTTTTAAGATGCAATTTGCTAGCCATATAACCCGGGATCTCCATGAGGTCTGCAAACACATCTTGCCACCTGATACTAGCACACTTCATAGGGTACAGTTTGTCAAAGATGATTTGGTTTAAACTTGGATTATTTTAGGTTTGTTATTTTGTATGGGACAGACAGACAGACAGACATGCAGACAGAGGATGGACAATATGCACTGCCATCAGCACACTGACACTAGGACATCAGGTCCTGATGAACTAAAACTATATGTTTGTTCAAAAAAAATACATGGGTTGAAGCTCTATTATCATAGCTGAATCTATGTCAAGTGGATACCAGTACTTTACCGTAACAGGAGTGAGTGAGTGAGTGAGTGAGTTGGGTTTTGCGCCACTTGTAGCAATATTCCAGCAATGTCACGGCAGGGGAACCAGAAATGGGCTGTACCCACTGTACCCATGTGGGGAAATGAACCGTGTCTTCGGCGTGATGAGTGAACGCTTTAACCACTAGGCTACCTACCACCTCTCCTAATAGGAAACAAGGTTATATGCAAAGTGAGCATCTCACTGCGAGGAGTGCAAGTGCTGTCTTCCAAGGACAAGTGCTGGGACCAATACTGTTAGTGTTATACGTCAAAGATCTTCCTGCGAGATGGTTTGCTCTGTTCTTAGCAATATTCCAGCCATTTATCAGTGGTGAATACTACACAGGGGCTTCACACATTGTACCATGTAGTAAATTGAGCCCTGGTCTTTGGCATGACGAACAAAAGCCTTAACATCAAGAATACCCATCCCACCACAGATCTTGAAGAGTCACATCGTGCTACAATTCTTAAAAATAAATTGACAAGGGTAAAATTAGGCAATAAATTAGACTAACACCTGGTAAGGTGATTGAAAGAAAAAGCAAAACAAAGAAAGAGAAACAAACCATTGAAGGTCATATAGTTGTCTTAAGGTTTTGGTTGGTTAGTTGGTTGTTTAACGCCGCACTCAGCAATATTCCAGCTATATGACGGTGGTCTGTAAATAATCGAGTCTGGACCAGACAATCCAGTGATTAATATCATGAGCATCGATCCATGCAATTGGGATCGATGACATGCATCAACCAAGTCAGCAAGCCTGGCCACCCGATCCCGTTAGTCGCCTTTTACGACAAGCATGGTCACCTTTTACGGCAAGCATCTTAAGGTTTTGGAATAATGATTGAGAATATTACCCACATGAATCAAACATTGTGTGTATTTCCCTCATTTGCACACAGTTTTACTTCCCCAAAATTACTGATCAGTCAGAGTAATGATTTCTCTATTGATCGGAAACAAAATCATATCATAATACACATGATAATAATATATATAATATATGTATATTTTTACCCTCATTTACATTTTGATATAGATACATTTATGAACTCTTATTGAAGTATAAGTGGTTACAGATAATATTTTCACCTCTATCTGTACCCTTATGGTTTATACCTACACAAACCTTAACCTATCTAGATGCCTAATGGATGATCATCCAACCAGGGGAAAAAACAAGAACAAACAACAGGTCCCAAGTAGGTCCCTAATAGGGATGGGTATTGGAGGTTTAAAGCGTATCACAATATTTTGCAATGCACAGGGTTGTATTGCGATACATATCTCGATATATTGTATAATTCAATATTTTTAATTCAGAAGCAATCTGATACATTCAGGTATGAACTGAAGTTCATAAATGGAACAAAACAAGATGCTGGTACAACATAATGTTTACTCATTCACTAAATATGCAGCCATCTTGGGGCCAAGGATGCTCGCTCCTGGGTATCAAAGGCATTTGGCAAGTATATAACATTAAACACATGATAAAAATCCCAATTTGAATTCACCTGATATATCGAGCATGAAGAAATGATATTGTGATATGTATCATGGAAAGAATGAACCTAAATTTACCGATATACTTGTAATACAGCACACCTTTAGTCTCTAATGCCCTATACCATCATGGTTTGTATGGTCCAGACAAATTATTTACGGGCAGCTTGGACAAAGCTGGAAACATCCTGATCAAGCACCCAAGCAGGATTCCAGGCCGGACCAAGTCCTAAGAACCCCTGCTTTCATGATAGCTGAGTAAATTGAGGAATGATGATTACAATGTGTTATTTGTATAACTGCCTCCCAAAGGTGTTGATTGTTACTAGTAACTACTGGTCTGCCAAAACTTGATGATATAGCATGTTGCAGCATAAAACATCACTCACTCACTCACTCACACTGAATCAAGTTTTGATTAGATATAAGTAGAACTGGCAGTCAGAAAGTTAAGGCCTCATACATACCGTATTTGACGTAATAAGCGCCCAGGGCGCTCTCAAAATTAGAAATAGGGGGCTCTTATTAGAATATTATGTTGATCCTGACAGCCTGAAATGTTTATATACGACAGATATATTTTCCCAGAATTGCCCATTATTGCCCATAATTAAGGGTGCACATTACACACGAGTGTGTATTATACACGAATAAATAAGTCTTGTGTACATTGATCAATCGGAAGGGGTGTTAATTGGGATTGTTCACTAGCCAATATATTACCAAATATCGCCATGGGCGCTTATTATGTCGAATACGGTATACATATATATATTTTGAACAAGAGTCATCTTGACCTGACAGCTGAACAATTAACCGGCCTACAAAATAATTGATCATACATTCTACACTATGGCTTTACCTTGGTTGTTATATTTATGAGTCCTGGAGACTCTCGATAGTAAACTATTGGGATCATAGGCATTTAAATTGAAGTCCCAGGGTGATCACCATACCAACAGCAAATAAAATACAAAGTATATGTGAAGTTTTATGCTTTTTATAGATACTGATTTTCTTGAATTAAAACTTGGTGATTCAGTGACGAAAGTTTTACATTGACTGTTCGAACATTGATTGTATTTCGTTTCAGAACAGAAGTAATTGACAAATCTGTCACGCATGTTCCAATTCACATAGTTTCAATCAATACAACATCCATACTCTTATGGGACTCTCTGGGGATTAATTGTGTCCATCCATAATCTTTGTGAGTATTGGACGCAATGGTTTGCACATCCCTAATGACTTAACTATGAAAAATGTAAGGTACGTGTTAGTCTGTCATACAGACCCTGATACAAATATATTAAATACAGCCCATGCAGGTCTATAATGTTGGGCAAGTCTAGATTACTGCAGTATCTGAAAATGAAGAGAGTCTCTGGGCTCCATTTTATTAAACATTTATTGAGATAATTTAACAGCTGTTTTTTTCTGTACAATATTTTCATTTCAGAGACTAGATCTTAGTCTAGGTACGTGTGAGTGAGAATGGTTTTACACCGTTTCATTTTTTTTTTCAATATTTAGGAAATATATCAGCTGGGGGACACCAGAAATGGGTTTCACACATCGATTGTATCCATGAGGGGAATCGAACCTGGGTCTTTGGCGTGATGGGTGAACACTTTAACCAATAGGCTACCCCGACCCCCAAAACGTATAATGAAACAGTTTAGTGGTTAGTCCTGAAACTTATAGTTTGTCATCCATCTTGATAGAAGCCAAACATGAAAGGCTTCCAGTGGCAGATCACTTGAGTTCCAAACAAATCAATTATCAGCTCAGATCCAGAGAAATTCTACACGTACCAAACCCTGATAAGTACACACGCTCTCAATGACAATGTTTATCCGGTGTATTAAGTTAAGAAAGGGACAAATAGTACTTAGCCTCTCACATGACTGACTGGGCTGGTACTGACCTCCGTGTCCACCCCGATATGTCAGCCACTGTAAGTCACACATACAGTTCTACCTAGATCTACTTAGTGGGGGAATTAGATTAAATGCACTCTCATGTGAACCAGAATAAGCTTGTTATTGTTGCCTCTTATAAACCAGTAATTGTATTGTATTGGATTCATGCTAGTTTGACATTCATTGATATTAGGAAACTTAGAATCAGCCGTTCACCTTCAGTATGACATTTAAAAATAATTATAATAGTAGAAAGTTCAGCTATGAAATGTAACAATGCCAGATTACATTTAACTTATAAACTTTTGGAGGTATTTTTTTTTCTGAATGGGCTGTGAAAATTCAGTTTCTTAACTTCTGTCATTAAATCTATATTTTTCAGGTCCATAGTAATCTCGCTATTACCAATTAATGTCTGCAATTTTGTAAAATTCCACTGCAGTTTGACACATACTTCAATAAATTAATATTAAGCTAACTGTTCACATCTCTGGCCTTACAAAATATTGCATTTTCCCCCACAACCCTCCCTACAGAGGGATGCATTATCCTACTCGAAGATCGATCCTTTGTCATTCGATATTCGCATTTCTTCCGAACAGCTGACTTGTGACAGACCATCTCTTTCAAATACAGAGTCTGCTATACTAACATTCTTTCAAATAGATAGTCTGCTATACTAACATTCTAGGTCTACAAACTCAATACCTACATCATCAGTCAATTTTCATCCATCCGGTATAATTATGATTAATATTCAACAAAAATAATATTATCGATACCAATACTAGATCTAGCAATAATGACATAATTATTTGCATTATTCTCATTTTCGGCAAACTGACAACCAAACAAAACTAGTGCACCGTCTTACCCGAGTCTTTACGCGCGTAATGCGCCATAGTTGACTTCTCTCCTTTACGCTCAAGGCGCTGTCATCGTAGTATGATCGGTACTTCCATGTGTGCGGCTGACCGCTACCGCCATAGAGCACGTTTTGTGACGTCACGTTACTATGTGTAAACACAAGGGAGTAATCATTATGTTAACTGCACGTGATTTGGGGTGAACTTTCGTCGTTGTTGGTTTCTCATTCAACGATTGCATAAACACAAAGTTGTCAATATCAATCTCATTAAAATTAGATCTTAGTTTAGCGGTACAGCAGTAACACCAACTTATTATTGCTTTGTTTACAGAGTTATTTCAATTCTAAACCTTTGTATTGGTTGTAGAATTAAATTAATTTTAAAACACATTGTTTATTCGATCTCTGCAAATTAGTATATAAGGTGTAATAAAAAAAAGGATTAAAAACAAGTATTGAGAAACACTTCAAGAAGGAAGTCTCGCGAGGCTGAGGTTGACCTGGTTTAGAGCAAAAACTATCAATCAGCAGAAAATTCGTGAACCATATACAGATACATTTACAAATCCCTTCGGGTATGTTTGGTGACGGTACCCTCCCATCAGTAACACGTCCCATTTGTCACGCACCTTAAAACAACATAGGTCATGGATGAGGGCACTGACGGGTCTACCCCATGTTACCCCACACAGCTTACTATGTTTGTTTGTGAGATTATTTTTGTTTTGTTTGTTGTTTAACGCCGCTCTCAGCAATATTACAGCTATCTGACGGCGGTCTGTAAATAATCGAGTCTCGACCAGACAATCCATGAGCATCGATCCACACAATTGGGATACGATGACATGCATCAACCAAGTCAGCGATCCTGACCACCGGATCCCGTTAGTCGCCTCTTACGGCAAGCATAATCCCCTGCCTACAATGTAATACTCTATAACCGCATATAGTCTTACTACAAGTCCTACTTCACGTGTAAATGGTAAGAAACTGAGTGCAAATGACAGTTCTATACCTCTCAGTTGATTTAATCACGTTTGATTTTCAACTGAAAAATCTCAAGTTAGCATTACATTAAAAATGAACTCTACAGTGGCTTAACTCAAAGAATACTTCTATACAATATTAATTTAAAACAAATATTATTTGATTTAATACCTTTAAAATTAAAATATATTTTCGCTTATTACACAACCCCTGACGGGTATCTTGGACACCTTATCTTTGAAAATCAATAATTTTTTCGGCGCATTTTTACATTTGAAACATGGTAGCGGGTATGTGGTTGCAAATTATTTTCTTACTTTCTTCATTGTGCCACTTTATTTTTACACAACGGTACCCAGCCACAGAATACTATTGCAGGAATGAGTAACGGTTAAACAGATATAATCAAAGTTTACAACAGTTCTTTCAATTTTCAATTACATAAAAAAAAATCTCGGTATACTTTCTTTTGCCCCTCAGTTTACATTCCATGTGGAGTTCACTACATCTCTGAACGAGGAAGAGACGCGCCGCCTGTTCGGTATTACTTTGTCCCCAAGGCCTTATCAATTACTAGTGGACACACCTTTTTGTCCGTTTTACTCCGGGCGATTAGAGCAAGGCACAGATTATCAATACATTTGGAATAGGTCATTTCACATATTTGTAACTGTGTATCATTTTTTTACTCGATATTCCTTAGTAATATATGTACATATGCGAAGGGCGTGTTTAGCGAAATACAAAGTTTCAAGTAAATATGATTGAGATAAGTGTAAGTTGCATCTACGGGGACTTACTTAGCGTATTTCAGAAATGTCGCGAAGCCAGTTCTGTTCATTACGTAGAGGGGAATGTCCGAGTAACTTTCCATTCCTTAAAAATAATGGAGCAGAGGCCGAGGCCCATTATTTTTAAGGAATGGAGAGTTATGAGGATATTCCCCTACTTAAAACTCATCCCTACTTTTACACTTTGACAAAATATTCTGTAGTTGAAAATATTTGAAAAATTCAAATGCTGCTTCAAGATAATGTACAGTTGACAAGCAACTCTCCATTCCTGAAAAATAATGGAGCGTTCAAACAATAGAATGACGTCACAGATGAGCTTTAAAACAGAAGCGACGACCCATGAAGATCCTGGTAAGAATTCGTAGGCGGATGCAGAGGTGTGTGTGTCATGGAGGGGCGGGTGGGGTGTAGGGGAGGGTCCAGGTGGTCCCCCCTTTTGAAAACTAAATGTTGTATGTTGTAGACAATAAAATTATCTGAGGGAGGATTTTGATATTTTGGACCCCTCCCTTTAAAAAAAATGCTGGATCCGCCGTTAGAATTGATCTTCATCAACCCATGCTTGTCGTAAGAGGCGACTATAACGGGATCGGGTGGTCAAAGTCGTCGACTTGTTTGATGCATGTCATCGTATCCCTACTGCGTAGATCGATATTCATGTCAATCACTTGATTGCCTGGTCAAGACTCGATTAAGACCGTATTTCGTATTGTATTCGATTTCACAAAATCTCATTCATTCATTTATGAATAGATAGGTCAGAAGTCGGGATGTCTTTTAGAAAAGAAACTAAAATACGCTTTAAATATGATATGGTTATCGGTGGCTTCTATCAGTCCGAACCCGTGGATTCCTTTGAAAATAACACATGGACCCCAATTTGACGTTTTATGGTAATTCGACAACCACTCAACACCACCCGTTCAAACGTCTGGACATGTCTCTGTCACCCATAGTTAATAAATAAAGACAAGGACATTGTCTACATTTTACGTAATTTATGTTATCGTTTTATGCTACTACTGATACACCTGTCGTTAGCAGATTGATGAAGTGTTTTTCTAACGTCCTGATTGAAACTTGCCATGACATTGACAAGCCTCTGATCGAGGGATGGTCAGTAGTCTATAGATATAATGATTACTCCCTTTGGAGCTCTTCTTTCAAGGAGTCTGAATTCCAAGATGGCGGAGTAAGTATCAAATCTGAGTGAAATACGAACATTTTTCATTATTAAGGACTAATTTAAGACATATTGTGAGCAGAAAATATAATTGTGGTAGATGACCTTGATATGTGGATATTTCCACGTGTTTTTAGACGATTTCTTGCCTTTTTATTATCAGTTGAAGGAATTCTTCACACAGGTGGACATATGACAGACATTCTGTGGTGTGAATTACTTTGTTCGCAGTGTTTAGCGATCATTCAAAAGACAGTAGAACATGGTGCACGACAGGAAATCGACTTACGCTACTTACTGAGGAGGGCACAGTGCCATATATTAGGATATGTATAAACGTTGTTACAGTTGAAGCACATTGTCAGTGTCTTAAGTCACGGGCATTCTGCCAACATATCTGTGTAGCAAGGCCTAGGCTTAGGCTGTCGAAATTTGAATAGTCTTTTGTAGGTGTGACATTAGGATGGTTTGATTCAACTAGGGCTGGGACGGGTAACTCGGGTATCTGGGTCGGGTAGGTCCTGAGTAGGACCCGGGTACCCACAGGACTACCCGGACCCATGGTTAGTCATGTGATATTGTTTCATGACAAAAATTCATTATATAGCTACATGGTTACACGACAATTTTAAGTCTCTAATGTTAGCATTTCTTCATGACTATGAACACGTTCCTTCTGACTTATATATGTTTGAACAAAGCTAAAACTTCTGTCCACTTCAGTGTATGCATGACCACATCGTTCTATACGTGTCTCTAAATATATTTTGCCAGGGCTACTGTCAAACTATCCAAATCGGACATTTTGTACCTATCTCTTGACAACAACAGCGGGTACCCGGGTAGGGTCGGGTAATAGGGGTGTGGGTACCCGGGTAGTAAATTTGGACTCGTCCCAGTCCTAGATTCAACACAATGTCCTGTTAGCAGTGTAGCATGAGTCTGGTGCACTATTGTTTGTTATTTATTTAAGTAAGGATCTAAATCAAAGTTAGTTGTTGACATGTGATAACTATATGTCATTAATGATTTACTAACAACCAAATCACTCAACATGCTCAATATCATTATCAACAAGGACAAAGGCCAATAACGTCATCACTGCAGTACATCTTGATACATATGGAAGACAATAAAAATTATGGAATTGCTGGCAGGATTTGTATGATGCATCTGTACATCATAGATACTTACTTACATTGCAGTGATAGAAACAAATTGCTTTAGTCAACTGACAACTAGTCCTTATAATGATAACATATAGCAAAACCCTTAATAAAAGCAAAGTTCTACTCGTCCTTATGATAGTTGATACCTTAACTATTGGGCAGTTTGTCAAGGACTATCATACTTGTGCCAATTTCTAACGCTGCATTGACTTGACATATGGTGAAATAAACTCAAAAAACTATCTGTGTCTTCAGCCACTTGTTCAAATCGAGAGTTTGGTGACATTTATTTCAGTGCAGTGAGATTAGATAACAATGGCCTGTATGTTAGATTAAAATCTACTGAAAACAATTCTGCAAGTCATATTCAGGATAAAAGCTTTTTGCACTTACTGTGAGTATGTTTCCAGCATAAGAATGTTATGCAATGTTAAACAGTGTTAACTTTTCTGAATGCTTCATACACATCAGTATGTGGCAACATGGTTCAGGGTTGATATCTAAACTTTGAATTACAGTCCAAAACAATATCTGCTCATTTCTATAGTACATCCAGAAAAAAAGCCATCCTTCATGTTACAGAAGACATTAAGCATGTTAACACTGGTGAAAGAGTGTTTTAGACATCTAGCCTCTAAAATGAACATTTTACAAAAAAACACACTTGTTTAATGATAGTTACAAAATATAATCAGGAGCCAAGAGACTTTCTTCATTTTCAGATCTGATAATCATACTGCAGTAATCTATACTTGCCCAGCATTATAGACTTGCATGGGCTTTATTGGATGTATTTGTTTCAGGGTCTGTATGACCGACTAAGAGTGTTTTTATTGTGCATTGTATTGTCCACAAATCTGACCACAAAGTAGCAAGCAGATTCGCTGTAGCATTCCCTGGTTGTAAGTCTAAATCAGTTAATTGCTTTACAACTTTCATAAGAGGACATTTTGGCTAATATATTTTAGCAAATTCAGACAAGGCTAATGTTATTATGCCTATACAAGATTCAAACGTGAAACTTTCATAGTGTCATATGTGTGGACTCTTTCAGCCTTCAAGAGAGGAAAATCAAGGATGCTCAGATGAGAGCTACCATCAACCAGAAGTTGGTTGAGACTGGCGAGAGAGACAGGTAAGGTAACAATATGGGATTTGTACCTAGAACCTTAAGAAATACAAGTACTACTACTCGTCCAATGTCACGACCATGACATCAGATCTAAAAATGAAATAATGTGATAGCTAGTTGCTGTTTATATCTTGGCCCACTTGGACAAGGCGATCTTAGCACTATGATCGTATGATGATCGTTACTACCATACTCTAACATAGACTTGATATAGTCCTAGCGCTAAGATTGCTTTGTGCAAGTGGGCCTTGATGATTTGCTACCATGGTTACTGTATACCTGGTGTTTTGTTCACACAGACTGAAGGAGTTGTTGCGGACTCGACTGATCGAATGTGGATGGAGAGAGGAACTCAAACAGTACTGCAAGGGTGAGTCCCTCATTGTGTTCTGCCCACACATCTAACAGACCGTGTACAGGTGACCCAGAGGGCATGCACATAGTCCCTGCATGTGTAGCATGGAAACTGTTCTGTGTGTAGTAACTCACTAACTACAGGCTACAAACTACTGCAGGTGTTGAGTGTAGCACATGCAAACTACTGCAGTTGTTGAGTGTAGCACATGCAAACTACTGCAGGTGTTGAGTGTAGCACATGCAAACTACTGCAGGTGTTGAGTGTAGCACATTGCAAACTACTGCAGGTGTTGAGTGTAGCACATGCAAACTACTGCAGGTGTTGAGTCTAGCACATGCAAACTACTGCAGGTGTTGAGTGTAGCAGATGCAAGCTACTGCAGGTGTTGAGTGTAGCGGATGCAAGCTACTGCAGGTGTTGAGTGTAGCGGATGCAAGCTACTGCAGGTGTTGAGTGTAGCGGATGCAAACTACTGCAGGTGTTGAGTGTAGCGGATGCAAGCTACTGCAGGTGTTGAGTGTAGCACATGCAAAATACTGCAGGTGTTGAGTCTAGCACATGCAAACTACTGCAGGTGTTGAGTCTAGCACATGCAAACTACTGCAGGTGTGTAGTGTTGTACATGAAAATTACTGCAGGTGTAGAGTGTAGCACATGCAAACTACTGCAGGTGTAGAGTGTAGCACATGCAAACTACTGCAGGTGTTGAGTCTAGCACATGCAAACTACTGCAGGTGTTGAGTGTAGCGGATGCAAGCTACTGCAGGTGTTGAGTGTAGCAGATGCAAGCTACTGCAGGTGTTGAGTGTAGCGGATGCAAGCTACTGCAGGTGTTGAGTGTAGCCCATGCAAACTACTGCAGGTGTTGAGTGTAGCACATGCAAACTACTGCAGGTGTTGAGTGTAGCACATTGCAAACTACTGCAGGTGTTGAGTGTAGCACATGCAAACTACTGCAGGTGTAGAGTGTAGCACATGCAAACTACTGCAGGTGTTGAGTCTAGCACATGCAAACTACTGCAGGTGTTGAGTGTAGCGGATGCAAGCTACTGCAGGTGTTGAGTGTAGTGGATGCAAGCTACTGCAGGTGTTGAGTGTAGCGGATGCAAGCTACTGCAGGTGTTGAGTCTGGCACATGCAAACTATTGCAGGTGTTTAGTGACTGTAATATAATGTCTATAGAACCCTATATGCATATTCTTAGTTTGGTGTGTCTCGTGATCACAGAATGGCATTGAAAGTGGATGCTTTGTATAGATCAAGAAGCTTGTTTCAGTACTTTTTTGTGTATTCATTGTTGTTTTCTCCTCACACAGAGATTGTTCAGCAGAAGGGCCTGGAGCACATCACCGTTGACGACCTGGTGGCAGAGATCACACCTAAAGGCAGAGGTAGGCACTCACCACATAATTACAGAGGCTGTGGTAACGTTTATACTGTTGTTTATGCTTTGGGAATGTCATCATAGTGAATTTTGAAAAGGTTTACGACTGACCATATTTTGCAGATGAATTTACCTTTTTGTTTGTTTGATTGAATTGGTTCAAGATTGCAGACGAACGGAAAATCACAAACTTCACCCTTACATTCTTACTACACCAAATGCACGATAGGCACGATAGTTGTAAGGAATCAAATTCAAATTGACAAACAAAGAAGATAATTAATCAGGGGTAAGAGTATTCGGCACCACAGCAGTCATCACTTGTTTGTAAACATAACAGTGAGTCGGTTGCGAGTTCAACTCCAAGCATTGTTGTAACCACCTATCACAGTGGGGAGCTTTTACTGGTGGCAGCGAAAGTATAGAGAGCTCCACTAACAGGATATCACTGTGAGGAGCTTGCAGGGATACACTGTGCAGTTACCTCCCATTGTTGCCAGGAAACACAGTGGCGAGTTCCCTCCCACATCTGCAATGATAAACTGTGCAGAGTTCCCTCCCACCGCTGCCAAGATACCCTGTGCAGCGTTCCTTCACTTAACTGCAATGATACACTGTGCAGAGATGATTATGATCTTGGTAGAATCTCCAATCTGGGTCACTTTGATCTTTCCTCTCATATCAAGCCAACATGTCATGACTGAAATACTGATGAAAGCAGCATTAAACCCACTCACTCACTCACTTTGTTAATAAATAAGCTCTGTCAGACACATAAAAAAGAAGGGAACACAATGGATTTATGTTTAGATCTGTGTACCATATCAAAAGGTCAGTGAGCAAATTTCATATTATATCTGGGTGAGAATAGGCAGCCAATGCTCCATGCTTATTGGAATTGATTTTGATGAAAATTAACTGGTAACAATGGGTGGCTGATCATGCTATATCTGTAACCTAGTCCTGAAGCTGTTCATCTTACCTTGAACTTTAACAAGACTCAAGTATTATATTTGAGATATTTTTAAGATGTTTGCATATCTCCGAGACTCACATTGTTCTGGCTCTTAATATATCTTCAAGACTCAAGTATGGGTGGCCCAGTCGTCTAAAGCGCCGCGATTTGCTGTGCAGAGTTGCGTCCCATGGGCACGCCAGAAACCTATGATTGTGGGTTCGAATCCCGGTTCGCCCCATTATGTTTCTAGGTTTGTCAGCACCATACCCGTGCTCATAGGTTTCACCGAACTGGTAAACGTCTACGACCTGCATCACTTCGGGCTTTCCTCCCACATTAAGCTGACACGCCGCGATATAACTGGAATACAGTTAAAAGCAGCGTTAAACCCAACTCACTCACTCACAAGTATTTTACACAGTGATGTCGCTGTGATATTCATGATTATGGTGCACAACAGCATGCAGTCCTTGCTCAAATGAATATTATTGATTGATTGATTGATTGATTGTTTGTCATTTGCGCCGCACTCAGCAATATTACAGCTATATGACGGTGGTCTGTAAATAATCGAGTCCGGACCAGACAATCCAGTGATTGACATCATGAGCATCGACCCACGCAATTGAGACACACTGATATGCATCAACCAAGTTAGCGAGCCTGATCACCCGATCCCGTTAGTCGCCTCTTACAAAAAGCATAGTCGCATGGGTTGCTGAAGAGCTATTCTAACCCAGATCTTCAAAGGTTAAATGCATATCAGATTTCATGCCAATCACATGCTTCCCTATATAGCAATTCCCGCATTTCTTTCCATGGTATATATATGCTACTCAAAAGAAGTTTGATTGTCATGGTATGACAGGTGAACTATAGTAATATGTTTGTTTGTTTGTTTGTTGTTTAACGCCGCACTCAGCAATATTCCAGCTATATGACGGCGGTCTGTAAATAATCGAGTCTGGACCAGACAATCCAGTGATTGACATCATGAGCATCGATCCATGCAATTGGGATCGATGACATGCATCAACCAAGTCAGCGAGCCCAACCACCCGATCCCGTTAGTCGCCTTTTACGACAAGCATAGTCACATTTTACAGCAAGCATGGGTTGCTGAAGACCTATTCTACCCTGGAATCTTCACGGGTCTATAGTAATATGAAAGAATCAGGTGTTATTTAATTTAATTTAAGTTGTGTATATTTATTTCTGAATACCATTCAGAGTTTTTACAAAAATGTATTTTAATATGTAAACTACTTCACTCTCTTTTTCCTGTGTTGTTGACGGATGTTCTGTATGTCCCGGCAGCTCTCGTCCCAGACAACGTGAAGAAGGAGCTTCTCCAGAGAATCAGGACCTTCCTTGCCCAGCAATGAGGCAGTCAGCATCGGGACAAGGGAGATAATTCATCCTAGCTGGTGGTCATCACATCATACTTGAACAAAGTACAAATCACACGTGGAGGTAGTCAGGCTGGCATCTACCTGGCTATGCTTGCTGGCTGCATTATATCTCATGGTCCGCCACCACCACCACTCACAGATACTCATGTGACTGTCTTAGATGGCAGATTTTTAACATCACTGATATATATGTAACAGTATTATTTCCGGCACATTTATGTAAGTTTGCACCTGTTTTGATGAGTAAGATATTACATATCATAATTTATTTTCAGGAAAACACCAGCTGTCATTTTGAATCTGTCCAGAATTTGTCAGTGTATTAATGTAATGTTATGCAGGGACATTGTCAACACAAGACTTAGGTTGTATCGATCTCAGGTGTTGTCAGTGTCCATCTTTGTCATAATGTCCTCATTATGTGGTTGCTATGGAATTAGCTGCTGATGTTATTACCATGGTGACCTTTTTGCGAGCTTCCATTAATGGTGAAGTTATTATGATATTGATATTTGTGCACGTCTTCTGGTGTAACATTATTTCAGTGACTGTGTCCAGCATTACCTTCATATAAAAACAAAGTGATCTTTCAATGCTGATGATATTCAAGGATTATTATAATCTATTGTTGATGATGATCAATAATGATTATAATCTATGGCTATGTAGTTGTTAGTGGTCCTACCTTTTGTATTTTGCAATTCCTGGTAAAAATCAAATTTGAGTTGGTTCATTTTAGGGTAAGTCTGTTTCTTGATCATTCATGCGACAGGAGGAACATACATGTATAGGCTTTGAAGGCGTGGTCTGTGTGTCTCTTCTCTCCTCCAGTGTCTTTAGGCAGGACAGATGTAGCTTGATGAACAGGCTTAGAACTTCATCAGCCTTCATAAATGCGTATCTGCATTGCCTTTGCTGCCCTTCCAAACTCTCGTCACCGTCAGCAAGTCTGCAAATTGCAGGGTTGAGAATCTTCCGCGGATCAACAAATTTCAGTGACCACAAATTTGTTAAAATCTGATGGCTCCCCTCATAAACACCCTAAATTATGGTTTCAGTTGAAAAGGAAAATAGCCTTTCTCATCCCTGTAATTAACTCACAGTAGCTGATGAGTTTCAGCAGGCAATGCTAGAAAGCATTGTAGAGTTCAGAGCCTGGTGCCTCTTTGAGGCCAGTCCACTATACTCAATAGGTAGGTTCACTATACTCAATAGGTACAGCATGTTGTGCAGTAGTCTATTCTTAGGAACTTCAGCTTTAATGGTTGATATGTCAGTCTAACTAGGGTTACCACAGCTATTAATTTCTATGCCTGTCAGTGTCAAATGTAGACATTCCATTTAGTGCATTGTTTTATACTTCTGAACAATATGGCCAAAATTTTGTAGTCATCACTTACGGTGTGTTTCCTTGTCAGTACCGAAATCAGTTTTATAGGTTCCTGTACTGTATACTGTTGCGAATCTGTGCAATGCCACAGTGACCTGCCTTTCTCACACGTGACTGTGTTTATGACCTGTGTGTGTCTGAAGCCAAAGCTTATTAATGGCCATGCAACACTTACATCCAAATACTATATTTATGATTAAAGCTATCAATACTTCAAACAATGAATTTGTTTTCATGTTGTGTGTAGTAGTGAAGGGATGGTGGGGTAGTCTAGTGGTTGAAGCTTTCCCTGGTCACACAGAGTTTGATTCCCCACCTTGGTACAATATGCGAAGTCCTTTTTTGGTGTCCCTTCCATCCAGATGTAGGGACCGGATCTGGGGTAGGTTAGGTCTTCAGCATCCCATGCTTGTCGTAAAAGGCGACTATCCTTGTCGTGAGAGGCGACTAATGGGGTTGGGTGGTTAGGCTCGCTGACTTGGTTGATGCCTGTCATTCGTATCCAAATTGCTTGGATCGATGTTCATGATATCAATCACTGGATTATCTGGTCAAGTTTCGATTATTTACAGACCGCTGTCATGTAGCTGGAATCTTGCTGAGTGCGGTGTAAAACAACAAACAAACAATGTTGTCCCAATCTAAGTTCCGAGAGTCGACATAACATTTCCTAGGGGTAGTCATAACAGTCAGTTTTTGGAATCATGTACCTTAAAGGTATCATATAAGACTTAGGACATATCAGATTTAATTGGCTAGTGGTGGTGTCGCCTATAGTTGGCTTGTCACCCCGAAGGTCCAGGTTTGACTCCGATATTGTGTGAAACCCATTCTTCTCATCCCCATTCTTATTGTGGCTTGAATATTGCTAAAAGCTAGGTATATAAAAGACAACTCCAATCAATAATGCTGAACAATGGTATTGCCACATCATCACATCACATCACATATATTAAAGTCAAACTTTTTTGAGATATGGTTTTCATCCTGTAATTAAAGTACATGTAAACTTTAAATTATTACATTTTGGAACAGGTGTGCACTTATACAGAGGTAGTATAATAGTATACTCATTGTACAGGGGCTGCAGAATACACACTAAATGGTGCTAAAAGTGGCATGAAGCATCTAAATGTGGCACAACATTAAACGTATACATATATATATATATTACTACTGTCATACATATACCCCACAAGGTAACATATCCACCAGTGCTGTGTGTATACAAATGTCTTTAACATGTACTGGCATTTGGGATCTGGTCAGGTCATGTGGAAAGGAAAGGGGAACAACATTGCCAAGTTAATAGTAACCTCACACAGTAAATCAGATGTGTGTGGTTAATTATGTTGATTTTGTTTGTTATTTAACGCCACACTCAGCAATATTCCAGCTATGTGACCATGGTCTGTAAAAATCGAATCTGGGCCAGTGATTGACATGAGCATCGATCTATGCAATTGGGATACGATGACATGCATCAACCAAGTCAGCGAGCCTGACTACCTGATCCGGATCGCCTCTCACGACAAGCATGGCCGACAAGCATAGTCGCATTTTACGGCAAGCATGTGTTGCTGAAGACCTGTTCTAACCCGGATCTTCATGTGTCCGACATTAGTACCTGAGATACCATTAGTACCTGAGATACCATTAGTACCTGAGATACTGGTCCCTGTAGTTATTGAGACAAAGCTTAATTTCACTACCCTTTCCGTTCCACCATGTCGTCACATTGATGAATTTGTAGTACCAACATCCTGTCCAGTTGAAAACCCAGATCTGGATGCTTGGTCCCTTGAATGTTTTACTCATACTACCTCCCAGGGTGGTGATACCCGGGAAGATATCGTTGAAAAGGAGGCTCTTCTATGTCCAAGGGCACCCTCAGTTTGTCAACATCGACTTCGTTCATCAATAAAATATCTCCAGTAGAGATTTGCCATTCCAGAGACGTTTTGCGTTTACAGACACCCACTCAAGTATAGGAATGTTCGTCACTATTAACACGTTCTCAACATCAATGTCTCCAAAAGAATTCCGCGCTGTATTATAAATATCCATGATGTCATGATCTGTCATAGGAGCGCCCTGATTGGTCAAGACTGGAAAGAAGCTCGGCACTTCCGCCCGTGAAGAGGCTGGATTGGCCGGAAGTTGTCAACCATAATTCCGTCATCTCCCACGCGAAGTATGTCGCCTTTGCTCGTGGTACGCAGGCGCCGGAACTCCTCTATCTGCAAACAAATGATGAACAGTCTGAGAAGGTTTAGTTCAAATACAGTTCCTCCCAAGGAAAGCGGATATTGACGATCCTCCTGATTCGGTAATCGAAACTGTCGGAAAAGTAGATATTTGCAGCTTAGATTCTGTGGGCAATTGAAACAGCCCTTGTCCAGAAAATATAATAAACCGTCTTTCACTCTGGTATTTAAACGGAATACTTCGGGGAGATTATTTTGAAATATACGAGAACAAAATATTTCCCTTATGGAGTGGATCGTTGCTCATAATATCAGCTATTGGGCTTGATTATTTACAGGCGGCCGTTAAATATAGCTGGAATATTGATGTGTTCGGCGTTACCAAACAAATCAAAGCCGATTTGAAGAGATCGGTCTTCATGGTGTACCTGCGGATGTGAGATCATCAGAGGGTACCGGAAGAGGATCCACGTCACCTCTTCGTTACAAGGGGGCGCTGTGAGCGAGCCGTCGTACGTCCAGAAATCTCTTAAAGAAGGGTCTGAAAGTATAGATACAGTTCCTGGTAAACACTTGCACAAAGCAGGAGGGGCACCTTGAAGACTTAGCGAAAAGTACAAAATAGGGACTATTGGCTTCCAACTGGGAGACAATATCTCATTTTCATACACTGCACTAATTATGTAAGGGGGATCTGTGCCTAAAATACAGGAATGCAGTATGTAACATAGGATGTTGACTCATGGATATGTGTGTGACAAGTGACAAGCGACTATGCAAGTGACAAGTGACTATGACACACGTGACTGTACGTGACACGTGGCTATATATGTGACAAGTGACAGGCGACTATGCAAGTGACAAGTGACTATGAAACACGTGACTGTACGTGACACGTGGCTATATATGTGACAAGTGACAGGCGACTATGCAAGTGACAAGTGACTATGACACACGTGACTGTACGTGACACGTGGCTATATATGTGAAAAGTGACAGGCGACTATGCAAGTGACAAGTGACTATGAAACACGTGACTGTACGTGACACGTGGCTATATATGTGACAAGTGACAGGCGACTATGCAAGTGACAAGTGACTATGAAACACGTGACTGTACGTGACACGTGGCTATATATGTGACAAGTGACAGGCAACTATGCAAGTGACAAGTGACTATGACACGTGACTGTACGTGACACGTGGCTATATATGTGACAAGTGACAGGCGACTATGCAAGTGACAAGTGACTATGAAACATGTGACTCTACGTGACACGTGGCTATATATGTGACATGTGACAAGCGTTTGTGCAAGTGACAAGTGACTTTGAGACACGTGACTGTACGTGACACGTGGCAATCTTTGTGACAAGCGGCTATGCATTCTGACAAATGACTGAATACGACACGTGACGACGCATGCCTGGGACACGTGGTTACACTGTAACAATGTGTTTAGGTCCTAAACACAAAACCTAATCACGTCCCTTGTCCCATAAGCTTGACATGTTTAGGATTGTTATTAAAGCTAAACGTGTTTAGGGTCTAAATATGGGAAAGACTATGTGACAGGTGACCATGCATGTGACAAGTGACTATGGGACACGTGACTTTACATGTGACACTGACTGCATGACACGTGATTATGTTTTGGCACCAACCTGGAAGAAGGCACGCAGGGTTGAAACCGGTCAGTAGGGATTTCTGACGACCCTAAAAATACATGGAAAATGAACATTATTTATCCAAATGAATGTAAATATTTCATTATATTTCTAAGATTGATTTAAGAATGTAGACTACCTTATATTGGACATCCTCGAGACCGTCGGTGATGACTCGCAATCCTTGATGCTCGCGGCCTACCTGCAAGGACAGGAACGACAGTGGGTGAGTATGGTTTTACGCCGCTTTCAGCGGTATTCAAGCAATATCACGGCAGGGGACACCTGAAATGGGCTTCACATATTGTATCTATGTGGTGAATAGAACCCGAACCTACGGTGACAAGCGAACGCTTTAACCACTAGGTGATCACATCGCCCCTCAGAAACGTCAAGACGAACCAACGTGCATATTTAATAAGTAGATAAGTTTAGTTTAGACTGTAAAAAAACTAATACATCGTAACACATAAGCGAGCACCCGTCAACGAGGTGTAGGTTTAAAGAGTGTGTCTTGTATTATATTATATTATATTGTATTGTATTGTATTGTATTGTATTGTATTGTATTGTATTGTATCGTATCGTATCGTATCGTATCGTATCGTATTGTATTATATATGTCACTCACTTGCGTGAAGAGGGATACAATAACCACGCCCCCTGGCCGACCCAAGGCATCCTCTTGGTTGTCTTGGTGACGGGTATTCCAGTGAATAAGTTGCACCTAATAGAGAAAGGCAAAAACATTTATATATGCACACATGCAGTGCATGGATGTGTGTAGCGCAAGCTAAATATCGAATGGTATAACCACTTTCATGATATGTATTGAGGGTTTATTCTCAGGAAGGCGACAGCTCATGGGGAGTATAAACAAAACGCTGAAACGTTTCACCTCTTGGCCAGGTAACCAATTAACTTGAACAAAGGCCACGGTGTGTTTAGTTAAGGCTTAGGGAAAGTTGTAAAATAGGAATGAGGAAAGTAAATTTATTTGATTTGTATTTAAGAATACCCTGAAATACCATAATAAAACATTAATTACAATACATTTTACAATATCAGTACAAATTCAAACACAGTTCATACAAGGTTCATACACAGTGACAATAACTTAAGTACAAATGCAGCATTGTCTGCGTAGTTGATGGGAGGAATGTCATCTCGTGTAACAGATCGTAGTTCAATAAATTACTGAGTTCGGTTCAGGTATGAGCGCAGTTCACAATTTCTAACCACCCGGCATTTTAATCCCCTAGCTACTGTGACAAAACGCCGGTCATTAGACACTGACTCATAGTAGGTTCGAATCCCGGACGCGACTCAACCCCAAAAGTACGAGAATCTGTACTTTACTAAGAAAGTGTTATCCCAAATATAACATTTGTTACATTTGACCACTTTCTTAATTGCATTGTGAATTCATGACTCATAGTTGATTATTCCAAATCTTCTATAAATAACACAATCTTATTGTACACACAACGTTACCTCTGTCTGAGAGAAACTTTTATTCTGTGAATGTTTAGGATGCCATGTGACCATTTCGCTGTAAAGATCGACGTGATTACATCTTGATCTAATCGGGATGTGACACGCTATTCGTCACTACCCGCATCTTTCCGTTACCTACAAAAACATTCGAGACCAGCCCGTGTCATTCCGGGATTACACAAACACGCTAGTGATGACAAATGGCCCTCCTGGTAGGTCACGGAAAGATGCGAGCAGTGACGAATGCTACAAGAAGGTATGAGCATGTTCCGGAATAGCACAAGGTCACAAATGCTTCTTGAAGGTCACGGAAAGATGCGAGCGTTGACAAATGATACGAGAAGGTATCAGCATGTTCAGGAATGGCACAAGGTCACAATTACTTCTTGAAGGTTACGGAAAGATGCGAGCGTTGACGAATGCTACAAGAAGGTATCATCATGTTCCGGAATAGCACAAGGTCACAAATGCTTCTTGAAGGTTACGGAAAGATGCGAGCGTTGACGAATGCTAAAAGAAGGTATCAGCATGTTCAGGAATGGCACAAGGTCACAAATGCTTCTTGAAGGTTACGGAAAGATGCGAGCGTTGACGAATGCTACAAGAAGGTATCAGCATGTTCAGGAATGGCACAAGGTCACAAATGCTTCTTGAAGGTTACGGACAGATGCGAGCGTTGACGAATGCTACAAGAAGGTATCAGCATGTTCCGGAATGGCACAAGGTCACAAATGCTTCTTGAAGGTTACGGAAAGATGCGAGCGTTGACGAATGCTACAAGAAGGTATCAGCATGTTCCGGAATAGCACAAGGTCACAAATGCTTCTTGAAGGTTACGGAAAGATGCGAGCGTTGACGACTGATACAAGAAGGTATCAGCATGTTCCGAAATGACACAAGGTCACAATTACTTCTTGAAGGTCACGGAAAGATGCCAGCGTTGACGAATGCTGAAATAAGGTATAGGCTTGTGATGTCACTGCCGTAGGCATATGTATGTCCCCCCTCAATGAGTCACGGTTTGAAAATGAAGGTGTATCTAATGCAGATGAATCAAAGACCCATATTACACCCTGCCTCCGGGCTAAACACAGGCTGACAATAGCCTTGCTTCCCTCGCGCATGCACAACATCACGTGTGGATTCCGGAGGAGAAAACATCCACAGTACCCCCACTGTACCCCCACTGTATGTGTGTTTGTTTGTAGCTTAACGCCGCTCTCAGCTCTATTACAGCTGTAGGATGGCGGCCTGGGTCAGACTGACCAAACGCCCAACGCCGTTCGAGTACGATGACACACAATCAACCAGTCTCAGAACCTGACCACCGGATTTAGTCGCCTCGTGCTAGTTGTGTCGCCTCGTGCGGCAAGCCTAGCTCGGAATCCCAGAGAGATCATAATTATCACACTCGGATTATCGCCGATGCTAAATTGCCGGGAGTCCGTTGGTTCGTTTGAGTAACCTTGTTGATTGTATGTCTTCGCATCCGAATGACCATTGCTCGTGATATCAACCATCAGTCTGCCTGTCACAAATTATAGTATTTACTGGCCGTTGTGACAGTGCTGAAATAGTGTTGATTGCGGCGGAAAACAGCATTCACACACACTCCCTCCGCTGGATCCAAACAATGATCCTTATATGAGAGTATCCAGCCGCAGTTTAACTGCAGCATGGTATCTCAGTGGGCTTGCACTATAAAATCGGCGTTGGGCCAGACTAGCGCGCGCGCACGCACGCACGCACGCACGCACGCACGCACACACACACACACACACACACACACACATCACCTAATAATGGAGTACTTACTTCCATAGGAAACGCCTTGTTGTTGACGGTATGCTCGGAGCCCCGGGAGTCATCCCGACCCCAGTGGAAGCGGATCTCCCCCAGCTCGTACTCACTCCCGTGGGACAGGGGACCCCCGCTCAACACTGTAGGAAACAACAGAGCAATTGTTAAGAAACATTTCTATGTCCGGAACACCTCACACCAACATGCGTGTATGTTGTTGTTTTCAGAACAAGTGAGTAAATGAGTTGTGTTTTACGCCGCTTTGAACAGTATTACAGCTATATCACGGCTTCTCAGCTTGATGTGGGGGGAAAGCCCGAAGTAATGCAGGTCTTAGACGTTTACCATTCTCTTGGGTGAAACCAGACGGAAATCGAACCCACGATCATAGGTTTCTGTCGTGCCGAAAGGACGCAGCTCTGCACAGCGATATTGCTGCACCTCAGACGACTTGGCCACCCGTGCACCCATTTTCAGAACAAACCTTTAAAGATATACTTAATGCTCCACGGCTGGCCATTCAGGTTCGACCTAACCATGCCGACACTGGGATAAGTGTCCTATTTAAACACAGCGTTAGTGAGTGAATGTTGTTTAATGCCGCAACAGCAGTATCCCAGCCCATTCAAACATACTTGACCAGTGACATGTACAACGACCCATGCCATCGGTACCATGATACCCTATCATTCAAGTCACAGGAGCCTGCATAACCTCCCAATCCCCATTTTATACATCATGAGACACTTGTAACATATTCCAACAAAGTGAGCGAGTAAGTGAGTGAATTGGATTTAACGCCGCTTTTAACAGTATTCCAGTTATATCACAGTGTGTCAGCTTAATGTGGGAGGAAAGTCCGAAGTGATGCAGGTCTCAGACGTATTTCACTTCGGTGAAACCCACGAGCACGGGTATGGTGCTGACAAACCTAGAAACATAATCGGGGTGAACCGAGATTCGAACCCACAATCATAGGTTTCTGGCGTGCCCAAGGGACGCAACTCTGCACAGCGACTTGCGGCGCCTTAGATGACTGTGCCACCTGCGACCCCATATTCACACAGATGATGCCAGATGATGAATTTGTCCGTGAAATCAAGGTACACATTTTCTGAGAGTGGTTATCATATTTTGCGACGCCATTAAATATATGTGTTGTGATCCATGACCAAAAGACCTGCAAATTTGAAATACAAATAACCTGAGTAAATATTCATTGAATTACCTTGCTTTGACCTCGGGTAGATGACCAATGTGTGACCGTTGTTAAGTATTTCTGTGTCACGTGATGTGCTGTATGCGAAGGTCATCTGACTTTTCGTCAATGAAGGGTCGTACACGGCGTCTTGTGAAAACAGGTTGATCGGCGACTGACGTTTTCCTTTTGTCTCTGGGTACATAGCCTTCCATTCTGGACAATCTGGGAAGAGAAGAACATTGGCTTCTGAAGCTCAGCCACTTGCTCTAAGGTTGGCCAACATTTAGTCCCAAAAATAAAATGATCTTTGTTAAAAAATAAGGGGGTGGTGGGCGGTTTGTACCAGTTTCGGCTTATATCTAAGAAATAAACGACGAGTGGAAGTTGTTTTTCCTACAATAAGTGAGTGAGTGAGAATGGTTTTACGCCGCTTTTAGCAATATTCCAGCAATATCACGGCGGGGGACACCAGAAATGGGCTTCAATAAAACAGGGAGAATAAACCATGAGGGGCTCTAGGGGAGGGGATGTTACTAAAATGTACAAACTTTGATAACATTTACCCGTATTTAAATAATGATGACTCCCTGAATAGAATCCGTTTTCGCAATGTCAGACATGTGTATACTTTTTTTCCGTTTATTTTCGACTATGCACGAGGTTAATTCTCAACCCTCGCACTTCAAGTTTCTTTTTCAATGTTTCGCATATGGCCCTTTGTTTTTGACAACCAACCACGGCCCATTGAACAAATTAATTTCAGTGCCTATCGCTGATTGATTTGAACATAATTTAATTCTACAATTTTTGTAATGCTGCGCTTCGCTGACGTCGCAGTATTTATCATTCAGTGAATGACCTCCGGCTTTTTTGTAAGGGATGGTAACCCTAACAGCGCACCCTGGTGGCGGGTCGTGGGAACACGAGCAGACAATTAACATTCCAATGTCTGTCAGGTCGACTTGTAATACATACCTAAGAGATGATAAAACTTTACTCGCTTTGAGTGTATATATAATACGACCATGGTGACTGTATATATTTGAAGAACGACCCGCCTAAGCAATTGTCTGCATCAGCAGACAGGTGTTCAAGCAAACACTGAAATAGTCCAAGCGTTTGTATCAAGACTGATTTTCGTCAGCTTTTAAAGAACGGTTAACAAAAGACGAAAAACATCACTGTGTTGGTAGCCGCTTTGATGATGTGTCTGAAACCAATTATTGTTTATCCCGCTATAATATGATCTAAATTGTCAAAAAGCGACGCAAAAAGAGGAGAGTGAGTGAGGGTAGTTTTACGCCGCATGCAAGAGCCCTGATATGACTGATGTGGACAGAATCTGAATAAAGCAGATGACTTCTCCGTATCTCGTTACATGGCATAACATTGTCATAAATGTTACAAAGGTTATGATGGGGTCAAACTGGACTATGTAGTGGGGCGACCCGTGAAGATCCGGGGTAGAATATGACTTCAGCAACCCATGCTTGCCGTAAAAGGCGACTATGCTTGTCGTAAGAGGCGACTAACAGGATCGGGTGGTCAGGCTCGCTGACTTGGTTGACGCATGTCATCGATCTCAATTTCGGGGATTGATGCTTATGATGTCAATCACTGGATTGTCTGGTCCAGACTCGATTATTTTACAGACCGCCGTCATATGGCTGGAATATTGCTGAGAGCGGCGTTAAACAACAAACAAACAAACAAACATGTAGTGCGGCACACTGATTTACAAAAAAAATCAGTATTAAACACAAGAAATTAATACCTTCTGTATCATCCTCACAGCAATCTAGGTAATAAATGTGTGGTATATAAGTGACCTTCCCAGTGTGATGTATGTGAACACGTGGCAGAATCCATGTCAACGAGACAACGACACGAGGTTCACAGCCTGTAGTGTATACCGTTAAACTCAGGCCGTCAAGTTACATGGTTTTCAAAACCGCAATCAATAAACACAGGATTGTTGGAATGAGTGATTAACGCTGCAGTCGGCACCATTCCAGTAAAATGACAACCGCCTCCAACTATAAAAATAAGACAGGTCCAAACAGCCGTGGTTGATAGCATGAGCACCGATCCATGCACACCGACGGTTATGATGACACACAACCGTCAAAGTCGGGGGGGGGGGGGGATAGTTTTTGAGACTGGTTCAGAGGACCAGTGAAAACTTGGATTTTTAATAGTAAACAGTTCTATTTGAATCAAGTTGGAGACAAGTGATACTTGTGCAAATATTTGGTTCGCCCCGATTATGTTTCTAGGTTTGTCAGCACCATACCCGTGTTTGTGTTTTTCACCGAAGTGATAAACGTCTGAAACCTGCATCACCTCGGGCTTTCCTCCCACATTAAGCTGACACGCCGTGATATAACTGGAATACTGTTAAAAGCGACGTTAAACCCAACGCACTCACTCTAGTTAAGCTAATTGTTTGGTGTGATTGTGCTCACCAGTAGTCCTCTCGATTTTTCATCGATACTGGAGGTCAATAGATCCGGGTTAGAATTGGTCTTCAGCAAACTAGGCTTCTCGTAAGAGGCGATTACCGGGGCCAGGTGGCCAGGCTCGCTGACTTGGTTGATACAGGCCATTGAATCCCAAATGCGTAGATCGATGCATGCACATGATATCAATCACTGGATTGTCTGGTCCAGACTAGATTATTTACAGACCGCCGGCATACCGAAATTGGCAAAGTGGGTTTTAAACCCACGATCATGGGTTTCTGGCGTGTCCAAGGGACGCAACTCAAGATATCCAGAACGAATTTCAGAGCCTCAGACGACTGCCTCCATAACTTCCTGATGCGTAAACATGGACACCATAGGGTAGGGGAGGGGGAGACGATAGGAGGGAGGACGCGGGGTTGTTTTTACATGCCTATGTTGTCGTCTATAGTAACTCACGTCTTGCCATCTATGACATGCCAACAATACTTTTACGGGCAAACTCCCCTGAGCCACACTCCCTCCCTTTCCTATCATAAGTCCGTTAAATTCTATCATTCTTTGTATGAGTTGTAAAATGTTATCAAGTACAAAATATGACCTCTGCCCTCCCCCTCCCCAACACACACACACATCAAAATGACACGCCGTGATAAAAATGAAGTATTGTTTAAGGCGGCGTGAAACCAATCCTACTCAACAATAATAATTTATGAGTTTAACCTTAACCAATTTACGACATCATATTAAGACACACAGACATTATCATGTCAGGCAGTGAGCACGTTCAACAATATCGGTTGACTCTTGAAGCACTGACATAATTCCCCATGCAAACATAACATCGACAAATTTCAAAATGGGTCACAAATCGGAAGGAAACCTATTTTAGTCCTACGACTTCGAACAGATGATTGACTTCCTCAACCCTTTACCCTTTGCAGATGCGAGCTCCGATCAATACACGCTGACAGTAACGCCACAGCACAACAGCTCTTTATACCGTTAGATGACATGAGCGACCTCGTCGCCGACGACAGCACTGCCACGGCCTTCATACTTATATATACATACCACTTTGCAGGTTAGCTGTCAAAAGTATCTACACTGTACATTTCACTTTACACTGTTCTCTGTCCGCGCTGGCATCATCAACATACGACACAACCAATTACGACATCTGTCAATGGCGGATTTATCAGTAAAATGTCATTTGGTTTCTCATGACAACGGAAGGACAGAGCGATCTGAAATCAATGCATAACATGGTTGATGCATTCAGAGAAGGTCACGACTTCACGACAGTATAACTCTGTGAAATGGACTACATACAAACCTTTCGTATTTCTAATTTAAACATTAATGTAAAATACACTTAAAGAGTACGTACTTGAATTCACACCTTCAAACTGAACAACATTGGTTCTCTGTAGTTTCCGATTAACCCGGGTCGAGGTATCCATGGCGCTGCCCTGCGACGGAGGGTGATGGACACTGTCTCTAGGGCAAGGGTGCAGCACAATGCAGAAGCTACCCGTATCTTGCAAGCATGTCACCTGACAACACTGATACACAATAACTGCCGCCACCGAAATACCCGTGAATTATGCGCGCGCATCGTATAATTTACTCAGCGGTATCTGGGTGTGGCTCCATTCGAGGCAAGATGGGGATGTGGTGTCCGGCTTTCTGAACGCACTGGACAGTACTTGGGTATCCTATCCACATCTCTTCCGTTACGTCCCGCTGCCAGTATGAAGGTGTGTCGATATAATGAGGCGATGGGTTAATCTGGCTAATTAAGGTCATATATCTACCTGTTGTATATACTCCAGCTGTCAGAGACAGACCATCCCGCGTGGCCATCAAATATCGATTGACGCATATCCCTATATAGTGACAATTAGAGTAATGATATTCAAAGGGAGCTTAATGAACCATTGTTCCAGTCGTCGGATTAAGGGATTATACTGCTGTAGTCTGGCGAAGTAACGTGTACTATTGTCATTCAACTATAGGCACAGCGTTTGTTGAAAGAAAGTTCATTAATTAAAATGTTTCAGAATGGAAAGTCGTATCTTATTTCAAAATCTTCCACCAGATGATCCCACTAACCAAACTATTCTATAAAGAAGTGACACCTATGTCGTCGTTTACAGGAAAATCAAAACTAAATTAGTCGTTTTTAACAGTGTTCCAAATATTATGGCGTGCCCACGTAATGTGGGAGGAAATCCAGATATGATGCAGGTCTCAAACGTTTACCACTTTGGTGAAACTCACGCATGGGCATGGTGTGACAGACCTAGGAACAACAGGGGTGAACCGGGATTCGAACCCGCGACAATAGGTTTCTGGCGTGCCCAAGGGACGCATCTCTGCACAGCAAACTGCGTCGCCTTAGAAGAAATGGGCCATTATTCGTTATTGGACATACCCTCCTTCCACAATGATACACCTTTGGGATGTTGGAGGGATTGTATCCCAGTTTCGCACAAGTTTTTTTCTTGGATGTCCAATACGTTCTCCACAGCCATTATGGCGTCATTGCTAGGGCTTTCTTCATGCTTGGGATCAGGGAATATAGAAGCGTGGAGGAGCCAGATCCGTAGAATGAGAAAGGTGCTCAAAGAGTTCAAACACAAATTCGCGGATTGTAGCCATGGCAGTGACTGATTGTGCACTGTTGCACTGTCCTGATGGAAGAGCACATATTTATGTCAGCTTCCCACGTCTCTTAGTCTCAGTTTCATCGCGTAATTGCTTCAAAAGTACAACATAATATGGTCCGTTGTTTGTCTGGCTTTTTGGAAGATAGTCCACCATGATGACACGCTCGATATTCCAGAACACGGAGGTCGTAACTATTCCAGCTGACCGGACATTCTGCTGTCCACCTCGTTACGGTGACATAGGGAAGGACATCCTTCCCCAGGGTAGTACTCATATATACTGATGGCAACGAAAAAAGGAATCATGAAAAATTTAGGAAAATAATCTTTTACTCTTAGCTTATTTGAAATAGCGCATACAAATTAACACATGTCAGAATCAAATGTTGAGATGAGTTTGTGTGCACTGTCTCCAACGCGTATTTGGTAGACAAGCCTTTTAACTGTGTCTTTTGACCATTTACTGTGACAGCGGAACAATTTGTTCAACTGACTCAAGTTTTTGAGGATACCTTTATTATATCATGTAGGCCCAAAAGAAAAGATTTCAGAAATTCGCAATTCCTTAATTCTGTGTGAGCCTCAGAACTTACTCCATGAACCCTCTTAAGGTGATCGTTTACACTTCGTCATGCCGGAATACCTTCACAATATAAACAGGTGAATTCCTACCATTAACATTATCCTCATTAGCTTTAACTAATTTATACCAATTCAAAATATGTAGAAAAGTATTATCGAAATGGTAAGACATTGTTTTCCCCTACAAATGAAGGTGGTAAAATTGAAACCTTAACAGGAACTATGGCACACCAACGCCGATCTTACTGTTTCAAGACGTTAGACTAGCGCGTTTTGATACTACCGTTTCACAGCGGGGGACCTAGGATACATTTTCATAAATAATAAAGTCTCTAAATGGAATACGTTCCAGGGGCTCTGAGACTTTCAGAGTTTACTTGATTAAATCTCATTTTGGAACGAGTAAAACAGAAGTACAGTAAACTACGGTTATAATGTACTCAAAGGGCCACTTTTTTTAGTTCGTTATAACCGTTGTTCGTTATGTGCATATATACAGCAAATATAAAGCAAATTGCCGGGACCCTAAAATAATTTCGTTTTATCTGTCAGTTCGTTATAAGCGTGTTCGTTATAAACGTGGTTTACTGTATGTAATACATGATACGTTTAAATATATAAAAAAATGTATCGCTATATGGCGAATGGATTAATGAATATTGTGTAACGGGTTGTTGCCACGTATTTTAGAAAATGTCAATTGCAAATAAACAGTTCCGCGTGTAATAAACACACACCCGTACCTATTGTAATACGCAGCATAACAGCCCAGTACAGATACCACATGGCTTGTAGAATCCTCAGGATTATCGAGACCATATCGAACACGAGCAAATCAATATTAATAAACCAGGAAATATTAGCCGGTCCCAATGGCACCAGTTGCCATGGTGACAATGCTATTATATCAGATTTGCAATACTTTGAATAGCAATATTACTGGAGATGTGTTAGGTCAGTGACAAGGCGAGATAATTATTTATTATTCAGACACGAACATTCCAGGTGACACCATTACCGAAAACTGGGTCAGCGTCAAGCTGGAGGTGCGCCCGAGTCACTTACGTTTGTTTGTTTGTTGTTTAACGCCGCACTCAGCAATTTTACAGCTATATGACGGCGGTGAGTAAATAATCGAGTCTCGGCCAGGCAACCCAGTGATTGACATCATGAGCATCGATCTACGCAATTGGGATACAATGACATGCATCAACCAAGTCAGGGAGCCTGACCACCCGATCCCGTTAATCGCCTCTTACGACAAGCATAGTCGCCTTTTAGGCAAGCATGGGTTGCTGAAGACCCATTCTACCCCGGATCTTCACGGGTCCACTTACGTTTGTACATGTAGCGGTCCGTCCAGTCCTTCAATGTTGGGTCACATGTTACTATGCCAGCTGAGAGACTGCTGGAGAGGCGCCGGTGTGAGCCATCCCGGGGGTAGGGGATGGTGCTGCTAGAGTTCCGACGGATGTCTTGACTTGACTGCTGCATGGTCGGCGTTCCAGGCAGGGGTAACGTGGAAATTACCTGAAGAGGAAACGTGATAGACCTTTAAACGAGGCGATTTTATGACACTCAGTTAATATTCCTTGAAAACTACGGGATTCTTTTGATCCGTCAGAGGTTTCAAATCACAATATCAATATGTACAAGCTGATTTGACGACCGCATCACGCTGCGCGTTCCAGGATGCGCTGATTGTGGTTCGAATCCCAGTTTCGCCCCGATTATGATCCTTGGTATGCATCCTACCCATGTTCGTGGGATTGACACAAGCGGTGAACAACTACCACCAGCTTGGTTTCCTGGGTATAGTGTAGCCTGGACTACGACATCTCTTGGCTTAATTTGACATGTCATATACTGAAATGCCAATGGGCTTTAAACCAAACTCACTCACTAACAGAATACATTAACCGGACAGTTCTAGTACATGGTCTGTGGTCACTATTTGTCTGTAGAAACAAGTAAGTATATAATGGCCATTGGAGGAGCGAGTGAGTTGGGTTAAACGCCGCTTTTGACAGTATTTCAGTTATACCACGGTGTCAGCTTTAAGTGAGAGGAAAGCCTGGAGTGATGCAGGTCTCAGACATTTACCACTTTGGTGGCACGGATTTGGTGCTGACAAACCTAGAAACATAATCGGTGCGAAACGGGATTCAAACCCACAACCACGTAGGTTTCTGTGAAATATTATAGTGTATATAATATACTGAAATAAGACATGTATGCACTTCAGTGACAAATGTTCTGAGCCTCACATCTGAGAACAACATCTTGGGTATATTAAAGTTATACAGCATAGGACACACAATCAAGATGCCTCAGAGCTCTAGCACTAGCACTGACGGGTGGGACTGAATGGACGAGGGTCCCCTTGTCTCAGCACCCATCGGGCCTCAAGTTGCACTGAGCTGTGTTTTAGATACACTGATGTGTACCAGATAGGCATGTGATAACAGTGTTAGAGACCACGTGTTAGTTCGGTGCCAGCAGTGGCGATTCCTCCGCTGCCAAAACATCTGTCCTATATATAGTTCCGACCACCGCAGTGACAAGTAGCATCCACATTCCTGTACTGCATGGAGACGTCGTTTGTTTCCCGTGCCTCACATCGCCTACCCTCTGTGACTGCAGACGCCATATACAAATACAATTTGTTTTAAATCCGCTGAGTCATATTCGTACTAAACCGATCCTTTTGGTTGATATTATGAGCAATAATCCACGCGTCGGGGTACGAAGACACGCAATCAACCAAGGAAACAAGCCCGACCACCCGATCCATTTGTTTGATATGAGCAATAATCCACGCGTCGGGGTACGATGACAAGCAATCAACTAAGGGAACGAGCCCGACCACCCGATCCATTTGGGTGACATGAGCAACGATCCACGCGTCGGGGTACGATGACACTGAGTCTGACAACACTTACGACCAGCATAACATGTTTACCAATTTTAACACCGAATCCCCACGGGCGAAATGTATCATAAAAGTTATATAATGAATGTCTAATAAAAATGTCTGATTTGAAACTACGGCGCAAAGGCGACTATGCTTGTCGTAAGAGGCGACTTGAGGGATCGGGTGGTCAGGCTCGCTGACTTGGTTGATGCATGTTATCGACCCAAATAGCCTGGATCGATGCTCATGATGTCAATCACTGGATTGTCTGGTCCAGACTCGATTATTTACAGACCGCCGTCATGTAGCTGGAATATTGCAGAGTGCGGCGTTAAACAAAAAACAAACTACGGCCATAAAATTAGATTTTGCAAATCACTTGGTAATGTGACTGTTTTCGCGACACTCTTTTCTCACGGACTATATTCAGAAATATAATGACTCGACCCCTATGAACCCAGGAAGTGGAGTCGTTCAACATCAAACTCAACGGCGCCGAAAGTGCGAGCATGACAACACAGCGGATTGACTACACGTCAGTAAAACTGTCGGGGGATTGTTTTCCCTAAAGCACGCAGGACAAATAACGCTGTAGAAATCAGTAAGTGTGGAATGGGTGGATGTGTTATAACTTGAGAACGCGGCTATAAACAAGTGTTCAAGAGTACTCAGGTCCTAGGGTACTTGAGGCACGGCAATAAACTAAACGGGTTGTCATCAACACGTTGTCGTTCCCCGAATTAAATTCAAACACATCTTTATTTATACACAGCTTTACAGGGACACAACCTTTGGTTGACATTACTATTGATAACTGTTTGCGGGTGGTTTGAAGGACAGGAAATATCCTAGCGTCCCAACGTTATATATTACTCGAGTTATAGCTCCACACGACTCCTCGATTAATGGATATACCCGACTCCTACTCGAGTAATGGCTCCACCGTCTCCTACTCGAGTAGAACTGGCTACCCCTACTAGCTCTACCCGTTTCCTACTCGAGTAATGAATCTCCTGCTGGAGTAATGGCTCTATCCGACTCCTGCTCGAGTAATGGATCTATCCGACTCCTACTCGAGTAATCGATCAATCCGACTCCTACTCGAGTAATGGCTCTATCCGACTCCTACTCGAGTAATGGCTCTATCCGACTCCTACTCGAGTAATCCATCTATCCGACTCCTTCTCGAGTTATCCATCTATCCGTCTCCTACTCGAATAATGCCTCTATCCGATCCCTACTCGAGTAATGGCTCTATCCGTCTCCTACTCGAGTAATGGCTCTATCCGACTCCTACTCGAGTAATGGCTCTATCCGTCTCCTACTCGAGTAATGGCTCTATCCTACTCCTACCCGAGTCATCCATCTATCCGTCTCCTTCTCGAGTAATGGCTCTATCCGACTCCTACTCGAGTAATGGCTCTATCCGACCCCTACTCGAGTAATCCATCTATCGGACTCCTACTCGAGTAATCGATCTATCCGACTCCTACTCGAGTAATCAATCTATCCGACTCCTACTCGAATAATGTCTCTATTCGACCCCTACTCGAGTAATGACTCTATCCGTCTCTTACTCGAGTAATGACTCTATCCGATTCCTACTCGAGTAATGGCTCTATCCGACTCCTATTCAAGTAATCGATCTATCCGGCTCCCACTCGAACAATTGCTCTATTCGACTCCTACTCGAGTAATCGATCAATCCGACTCCTTTTCGAGTAATGGATAAATCCGACTCCTACTCGAGTAATGGCTCTATCCGATACCTACTCGAGTAATCGATCTATCCGTTTCCTACTCGAGTAATGGATCTATCCGTCTCCTACTCGAGTAATGGATCCATCCGACTCCTACTCGAGTAATGGCTCTATCCGACTCCTACTCGAGTAATCCATCTATCCGAATCTATCCGTCTCCTACTCGAGTAATGGATACATCCGACTCCTACTCGAGTAATGGCTCTATCCGACTCCTACTCGAGTAATCCATCTATCCGACTCCTACTCGAGTAATCGATTTATCTGTCTCCTACTCGAGCAATCGATCTATCCGACTCCTCGAGGAATCGATCTATCCGACTCCTACGTGAGTAATGGCTCTATCCGACTCCTACGAGAGTAATGGCTCTATCCGACTCCTACTCGAGTAATGGCTCTATCAGTCTCCTACTCGAGTAATGGCTCTATCCGACTCCTACTTGAGTAATGGCTCTATCCGAATCCTACTCGAGTAATCGATCTATCCGACTCCTACTCGAGTAATGGCTCTATCCGTCTCCTACTCGAGTAATGGCTCTATCCGACTCCTACTTGAGTAATGGCTCTATCCGAATCCTACTCGAGTAATCGATCTATCCGTCTCCCACTCGAGTAATGGCTATATCCGTCTCCTACTCGAGTTATGGCTCTATCCGTCTCCTACTCGAGTAATGGATCTATCCCACTCCTACTCGAGTAATGGCTCTATCCGACTCCTACTCGAGTAATCGATCTATCCGTCTCCCACTCGAGTAATGGCTCTATCCGACTCCTACTCGAGTAATCGATTTACCCGTCGCCTACTCGAGTAATCGATCTATCCGACTCCTACTCGAGTAATGGATCTATCCGATACCTACTCGAGTAATGGATCTATCCGTCTCCTACTCGAGTAATCGATCTATCCGTCTCCTACTCGAGTAATCGATCCATCCGTCTCCTACTCGAGTCATGGCTCTATCCGACTTCTACTCGAGTAATGGCTCTATCCGACTCCTACTCGAGTAATGGCTCTATCTGACTCCTACTCGTGTAACCCATCTATCCGATTCCTACTCGAGTAACCCGACACTAACCCCAAATCCACAAAAAGCCACACTCATACTTAAATGAAACGAAAGTTGAAGTAGCCATCTCACGCCTCAGACTCGGTCACAAACAGCACCATGATAAGGTATGCCCATCTTGCAATCAACCTGAATCCATTGCTCACTTGTTACTGGATTGTCAAGACCATGCCCCAGCCCGGGCTCGGCTAAAACAAGAATTGCAGTTAGATCCGCTATCTGTCGTAGATATCCTCAGTCAAGAGATGCAATAGCGAAGGCAACACTAATTCAGCTACTTAAAAGTATATACATAAACTGAACCGCCAAAGAAATTGTATCAATACTATCAAAAAAGAAACAGGAATGGTATCAATAGTAAACCTCCCAATAGATATGTGTACCCTAGTCACACACGAGTCCCAGGACCCATGAAGACCAGGGTTAGAATTGATCTTCAGCAACCCATGCTTGTCGTAAGAGGCTACTAATGAGATCGGGTGGTCAGGCTTGCTTACTTGGTTGATGCATGTCATCGTATCCCAATTTCGTGGATCGATGCTCATCATGTCAGTCACTGGATTGTCTGGTCCAGACTCGATTATTTACAGACCGCTGGAATAATGCTGAGTGCGACGTTAAACAACAAACAAACAAAATATGAGTCCCAAAGACGGACGGATCAGCCGAAATTACCCAGGCAGAAGGTGACTTCTAAAACACCTTTAAGCAACAACAACCCGCCATCCATCCAGAGAGTACGGAAGCCTTTTGGGGCCATTTGTTTTTTTCTGTTTTTTTCTTGAAATTTCAAGATACTCAGTTGAGATTTCAAGATACAGAGTTGAAAGTTCAAGATACTAAGTTGCAATTTCAAGATGTTATGTTGAGATTTTAAGGTACTAAGTTGAATTTTCATGACACATACTAAGATGAAATTTCAAGATAATAAGTTCAACATAAATTTCAACTTATCTTGAAATTTCAAGATCACTATCTAGGAATTTCAACTTAGTATGTATCTTGAAATTTCAATATAACATCTTGAAATTTCAAGAAAAAAACAAATGGCCCTAAAAGGCTTCCGTAAGAGAGACATACCTTTGCAGTCACCCCGAGTACGTTTCCGCTCGAGTTGTCCATGTTGTTCTGGTACACCAGACACTGACTCACAACGGTGTGGCTACCATCTACACTCAGCTTCAGCCGCTGTTAAGATGCTTGCTCCTACACCTCCAATACGTCCGCCCAGTACCAGTACATCAGCGTCTGTGTCACATACAAACACGCGTGTCCCTACACATGGTGCACCTGCATCACCGACACATTGATGCATACGATACAAGTGCCCGATACATAAATAGAGTGTCTATCAAACCGGAGACACAGCTGGCGACTTTCCCGTCACCGACTGTCACTCGGTCTCACTGCAGCTCCAGACAGCTCCTGTTTGTCGTGCCATGTCGGTAACACCGTAATGGAGGGAGATTATGTCCATCACTGAGCTCCATACATCGCCATCAGCTGAGGGCTCTACTCAATCAAGGTTATTTTGGTCCAAAGCGTCTAATGGACATTTCTTAAAGGATTATACCCGGTCCTAAACTCCACACGTCACTCGGGAGCACGACTTTCATTACCGCTACAGGTACAAATAACTTTATTCAAAATGACATATTAGGAAGTTAAGTTCAGAGTGACTCTTAGAAATGGGATAACTGTTTACAAAAGAGCTGTGTTATCAGTACACAAAGGCATTCCACGAGGGCTTTACCTGGCCAGCGTTCTGGGTTCGGGATCCGTCAGGTGTGAATTTCTTCATCATTTCTTCTTCATGATCAATGTGATGGAATTCTTCCATATACTAGTGTGATATAGATATGGTATTCACCAGCGTGTAAATCAGCTTGATGTGTAGTGGTGAATGGGTCAGTCCGGACTCTTTCTTATCAAAGCCACTCAAATGGACTTCATTTACCCCGTGGCCAATCAGGTGTTGGCCTCTGCCTGCATGCTGTAGTACATGGAACTGTTTACTCTACACTGACCTATGTCAACAGGGCCTCGGTGCTTCTTTAATGAACACTTTAATTCAGTTAGCTTTGAAGACTGTTTAATATTGGTTCATGCTTGTTAGCGTCACGATGTGAAACTAATCAGACATTTGTAAGGCGGCGTCCAGTATTGTCCCTGTTCTGACTACACTCTGGCTTTGACATCTCATTACACACAAGGTCTAACATTCAGCTCGCTGTGGTTTATGAGTGGACAGTTACCATCAACCATAAATGCATGAATGTCAATAGCGGGAGCCTATCGCCAAGGAAACTCAATCAGGGACAGCCAACGTTCATTGCAGCGCGTGAAGCATGCGTTTTAAGTTTTGTTTGTTTCTTGTTTAACGCCGCACTCAGCTACAGTCCAGACTGCGGTCTGTAAATAATCGAGTCTGGACCAGACAGTCCAATGATTGGCATCATGAGCATCAATCTACGCAATTGGGATATGGTGACATGCGTCAAAGTCAGCGATCCTGACAACCCGATCCCGTTAGTCGACTAAGACATAGACGACGGAAGGAAGACACTGGTCAGACATAGACGACTGAAGGAAGATACTGGTCTGACTCAGACGACTGAAGGAAGATACTGGTCTGACACAGACGAATGAAGGAAGACACTGGTCAGACACAGACGACTGAAGGAAGACACTGGTCAGACACAGACGACTGAAGGAAGTCACTGGTCAGACACAGACGACTGAAGGAAGACACTGGTCTGACACAGACGACCGAAGGAAGACACAGGTCAGACACAGACGACTGAAGGAAGACACTGGTCAGACACAGACGACTGAAGGAAGATACTGGTCAGACACAGACGACTGAAGGGAGACACTGGTCAGACACAGACGACTGAAGGAAGACACTGGTCAGACACAGACGACTGAAGGAAGACACTGGTCTGACACAGACGACTGAAGGAAGACACTGGTCAGACACAGACGACTGAAGGGAGACACTGGTCAGACACAGACGACTGAAGGAAGATACTGGTCAGACACAGACGACTGAAGGAAGACACTAGTCTGACACAGCCGACTGAAGGAAGACACTGGTCAGACACAGACGACTGAAGGAAGATACTGGTCAGACACAGACGACTTAAGGAAGACACTGGTCAGACATAGACGACTGAAGGAAGACACTGGTCAGACATAGACGACTGAAGGAAGATACTGGTCAGACATAGACGACGGAAGGAAGACACTGGTCAGACATAGACGACTGAAGGAAGATACTGGTCAGACATAGACGAATGAAGGAAGATACTGGTCAGACACAGACGACTGAAGGAAGACACTGGTCAGACACAGACGACTGAAGGAAGACACTGGTCAGACACAGACGACTGAAGGAAGACACTGGTCAGACACAGACGACTGAAGGAAGACACTGGTCTGACACAGACGACTGAAGGAAGACACAGGTCAGACACAGACGACTGAAGGAAGATACTGGTCAGACACAGACGACTGAAGGAAGACACTGGTCAGACACAGACGACTGAAGGAAGACACTGGTCAGACACAGACGACTGAAGGAAGACACTGGTCTGACTCAGACGACTGAAGGAAGATACTGGTCTGACTCAGACGACTGAAGGAAGACACTGGTCTGACACAGACGACTGAAGGAAGACACAGGTCAGACACAGACGACTGAAGGAAGATACTGGTCAGACACAGACGACTGAAGGAAGACACAGGTCAGACACAGACGACTGAAGGAAGATACTGGTCTGACACAGACGACTGAAGGAAGACACTGGTCAGACACAGACGACTGAAGGAAGACACTGGTCTGACTCAGACGACTGAAGGAAGATACTGGTCTGACTCAGACGACTGAAGGAAGACACTGGTCTGACACAGACGACTGAAGGAAGACACAGGTCAGACACAGACGACTGAAGGAAGATACTGGTCAGACACAGACGACTGAAGGAAGACACAGGTCAGACACAGACGACTGAAGGAAGATACTGGTCAGACATAGACGACTGAAGGAAGACACTGGTCTGACTCACACGACTGAAGGGAGATACTGGTCAGACACAGACGACTGAAGGAAGACACTGGTCAGACACAGACGACTGAAGGAAGACACTGGTCAGACACAGACGACTGAAGGAAGACACTGGTCTGACACAGACGACTGAATGAAGACACTGGTCAGACACAGACGACTGAAGGAAGACACTGGTCAGACACAGACGACTGAAGGAAGACACAGGTCAGACACAGACGACTGAAGGAAGACACTGGTCTGACTCAGACGACTGAAGGAAGATACTGGTCTGACTCAGACGACTGAAGGAAGACACTGGTCTGACACAGACGACTGAAGGAAGACACAGGTCAGACACAGACGACTGAAGGAAGATACTGGTCAGACACAGACGACTGAAGGAAGACACTGGTCTGACTCAGACGACTGAAGGAAGATACTGGTCTGACTCAGACGACTGAAGGAAGACACTGGTCTGACACAGACGGCTGAAGGAAGACACAGGTCAGACACAGACGACTGAAGGAAGACACAGGTCAGACACAGACGACTGAAGGAAGACACTGGTCTGACTCAGACGACTGAAGGGAGATACTGGTCAGACACAGACGACTGAAGGAAGACACTGGTCAGACACAGACGACTGAAGGAAGACACAGGTCAGACACAGACGACTGAAGGAAGACACTGGTCTGACACAGACGACTGAAGTGAAGACACAGGTCAGACACAGACGACTGAAGGAAGATACTGGTCTGACACAGACGACTGAAGGAAGACACTGGTCAGACACAGACGACTGAAGGAAGACACAGGTCAGACACAGACGACTGAAGGAAGACACTGGTCTGACTCAGACGACTGAAGGAAGATACTGGTCTGACTCAGACGACTGAAGGAAGACACTGGTCAGACACACACACACACACACACACACACACACACACACACACACACACACACACACACACATGTATACCGGTGTATTGCAGTCAACACCAACACTACTCTAATGTCGGTATGTTTGAAGTACCTACATGACAGGTATTTATCATACATGTGGAGGTCAAGGAGCGCTATCATTCATAAGAGGCTCCAGCGAATACACTGCCGGGCAAAAGAAAGTATACACCCATGTTTGATGGTGACTGAAAATGAACCAAACAAGAAATGATTATTCGAAGGTGATTTGATGCGGGTGTCATAGTTGTGTGTTGGATCGCAAGTTTACAATGTTTCAGTGACTGCCTAGTAACGTTTTCATAACGTTTGTAATGTTTTGGTCAAATTCATTTTTCAAGTCTGTTTTTTCTTTTGCCCGGTAGTTTATATACTGTATAGGTGTCGCTATGCTGCAGAGACGTCCTAACGCCTGTTCATACGTGCCTATATAAAAGACACATGAGAAGAATGTTCGATACAATTTGCGTATGACTTTCCGTATGGACTGCGTGGGCATTAGAATATATCCCAGAAACCTAAGCTTGTGAGAGGCGACTGGGTGTCAGACTCTTTGATTGCTTGTCATCGTACAGCACGGAACCGTTATACATACTATCAATCACTAATTTCCATGCCGCATTTTTTTATTTACAGGCGGACGTCATATATACTGCTCAAGACAAGTTACAGAACACCCACCATTGGAAGGCTCTGTGTTGCAATACCAAACAGCCATGAAAGATTAACGATAGTCATATGAAAAATATCGGGTGTTCTTTGACTTCTTTTGAGCAGTATAATATAAACAAAAAAAGACAAAAATCATAAATCAGGTCACGATTGGAAATGGTAATGAGGCGAGGCCGTAGTCTTGGTCCTATTTCAAGAGGGGTATGTTCCATGATCTGAAACCCATTTTAGCCTAGGTGTAGACGTTGTTATTGGTGAAACTTAGAAATTATCTTTGTATGATTAGAGAAAATCGCCAACTGCTAGATTGTTACATATCCAAACATTTGCGTATGTATTACTGTTTTCGCAACTTGAATCCAACTTGCTGGGAATGCCAGTTAGCTAGGTGCCCCTTTAACACCGCGTGCTAATCGTGCTGCTCCAACCCATCCAATTTGTCTTTGAATTGCTCCAAGCGACAGTATCACTGTAACATAGCAACCGTAATATGGTGTGACCTCATCTAACTACATGGTTAATAACATAAAAATCCAGATTTGTCCCGAATCTAGTCCTTGGTCTGTCAGCATCATACGCTCTCGTGGAGTCACCAAAGAGTTCATGGCACAATTTGGCTTTCCTCCAACATTAATTCAGCACGCCGCGAAACGTTACAAATACCGTTCAAAGAGGATCTAGACCCAGCTAACTTGAAATTGGGGTTTATAGCCTGTGCTGATTTATGGCATATACCCGAGGAGAGAAAGCTGTGGGAAAGTCTTACTTTCACAAAGCCTCTTTCCGAGGGTTTTACAATCGGTGTCACAGCATGAACAGCA